TTTTCTTGTTTCAGATAATATTGGTATTGGGTTTTGTTTTGGTGTATTGAATAAATAGTGAATTCTTCTTCTTGGGATGTGCATACAACCGTACTCTGAAAGAAATCCTAGTTACAAGAATAAGGCGATGAAACCTGAATTTTTAGTTTGTGCTGTTCCTTCATCTAGCTTGAAAATCCTTTTCAGAACATGCATACGCAAAAGAAGAAAAACATAATTCAAAGCATAACATTTAATGTCTAATTAATATAATTTTTATAAATAAATTTCATTTTCATCCAAAATCTAAAATTTAGGACCATAGTACAAAACGAAATCCCATGCTGATACTAAAATCATCCCGTAAACTTTGCTTTCGCAAAGCCTCTTAGCCCCTCAGCTTAACTGCTAGTATGCTCGTTTTTGCAAACAGTTTGTTTAGTAAATATCCGTCAATTATGCATGAAGCAGGCCGACAACGTCATTCATTTAGCATTCTACTTTTTTTTTACCTATTTTCTTTTCCTACTTTATAAAACATTTTTGGGTCTGTTTATTTGCGGCTAGTAAAGGCGCAACATCCGATCACCGATGACAATGCGACGAGCGTCAGCATCAACGTCAAAGTCAACAGCGTCGTCAGACTCGCTGAAATTGTGGCTGTCGTTGGCATTATTTATGTGTGAATCTTACAAAATTGTTTGCTATTTTCGAATGACACTAAAAGTCATTTCCCACAGCACTTAGACTGGCAAGAATACAATGTGAGCGAAAAAAAGTAAATTGAAAAGGAGCAAACTGAAATTATACGCGCTAAGACAATCATACGCTTGTTAAATACCAAAAATATATACACGTGTAAAAGAAATAAAATTGCTGCAACTAAGAAATGTACGGAGTTTATTTAAGTTTTTCAAATTCCAAATTGCTTCTTCACTCAACACAACTCAACACGAAATACGTGGCAAACCTTTAATTTTATTTCGTTTAATTTTTTTTTTCCTTCTTCTTACATAACACTCACACCTAATTGGCATAAAAATTGAATATGTGCTTACTTCCCTTTCTTTGCATCGATTCGCTGACAGACTTGCTTTATATATCTTATTTCTTTCCAGACTTCACTTCATTTTAAATTCTAGTTCGATTTTGCTTCACTTCAATATACTGTTTCCCATTCGTACGTCAACTATTCGCCTTGTCTAGCCATTGCCATTGACTTTATATGTGAGCCAAGTTGCCCATAATCAGATGAGTAGCAATCAGCGCTCATCAACATAACCTTCTATCACATCGCACTTCATCGCATACTCTTCCCTCCGCTTCCACTGGTTAAAGTGTCGTTACTAGCGCCTGCACTCAACCCCCTCGCTTTACCCATTCATGGCTCAGTTATAGCTCATTAATTTACGTAAAGCATAATTTTATCAGTATGAAAAAAAATAAAATTAAAAAAACGATGGAAAAATAAAAATCAATAATGCAGGTACTTTAGCTATTTGCATTTAAGAATTAAGTCACATCTAAGTGCGGCGACAACCAAACTAGGCAAGCGGGAAATAATTTACATTAAATGCAAATTAATACTCCCATTTTTTTCATTCACATGTCAGGTAAAAAAAATAAAATACAACAGCAACAAAATGAATCAGATCATAAACTCTTTGAAAGAAAGAATCGCAGCAATGGCTGAAAAATATTCTATTATAATTTATTTTTATGCAATTTTATATCTTAAAGAAAGCATTTGAAATTATAAACCACAATTTATAAACACAATAATAAGGTTCAAACGTTTTTGGGTTTTTGTTTAAAAAGTAAACAAACTACTAAATGAAATGCAAAATTACGTATATAATAAAAAAAATATAAATGAAATGTATTTTGAAAATTGTTTATTTTGTCAAATGCTCCAATACATTATGAACGAGTGTAAGCATATGTCGCTCCAACAACCAACTGCTTGAATGTGTACTGGTACGAACGTTCCATCATCCATCTTTGCATAATCTAATGGTCTCATGATCAATAATGACAGCTAAAAGATTACTGTTGTTGTTTGTTGTAATCGCTAAAAGCATTTTCCAAGTAATTTGTAAGAATGTTGCCGAATTGACAATCCTCGGACAAATGAAAGTCCGAGTCCGTCGCGATTACATAGACACAACTGACGTGAATTATGTGATATTTATGTGTATAAAAAAAATTTTCAACTCTTTGTCTTACAATACTTGAAAATAAGTATTTTTCAGCTTTTTGTTTGGAATATTTTTCGTTGAATAATTGCTATATAATACTTACATACAATACTGAGATTAATTCTGATGATTCCCTAATGGTGAAGTGAATTAAGCACCAAGATCGTATTATTTCAACTTTTATCGAAATCTCGGTCATAAAGTATTGTATGCAGAATTTTTCAAACAATTAAGTTAAATGTGCGTTCAAGGCTAGACTCCGTAGAAAAAACTTTCAGATTGCTAGTCACACTACCCATAAGCTCTTTTACCATGGTATATTGGAACGTAATACCAATTTCAAATCATAGCAAAATCCCTCTTATGATATAAAAAATTATTATATTTGCTAACTAATAATTTTTTTTTAGATTTTTTTTTATATATATGAGCGAATCTGTAGTATATGCATCGTAAAGCCCGACTCCTTCTCCACTTTGCACTTTTATATACCATTTTGTTTTTCGTTTCAGTAAGTGTAGAAGCGAATATATTTATATTAAAATTCTAATTGATCGCTTTTAGCCTTAAAACAACAAGGTAGAGTAAGATAAGTAGAACCTGAAAAAAAAATCAGTTTTTAATCGTCTTGAGTCCCACCAAAGCTACGAAAGTTAATTTCACTCAAGAAAATCCGAAACGAAGAAACCTCGGGCTCGTCTCTCGTCGTATTTTTTTCTTGTTTACTTTCTATTTAATGAATATAAATTCTACCGTGTACCATAGGAGTCATGCATCATAAATTAATATTCAAGTTCGGTCTCCTGCGTACCGCACCCAACACAGTCGTTTCAAGTAATCAGAACGGACGCGAAACTTTAACCAACCAAGGACTGCCAACAAAGTAGCATTTCAAATATTTTCGAATATTTTTTGCCACCAAAACCACAACAACAACAACCTTTTCTCTAATTTCTTCTTCCTTCTTCAAGAGTTTTTTGTGATAAGCCTCAAGTATAACTATCATTAATAAACTTTTTATTCTAAAAATATACACTAAACTTCCCAATGGTTAAAATTAAACAAATATTATATTTTCAATACTAGATTCAAGAGTATTTTGACATTACTTGCTTACGTCAAAGACTATTTAATTAGATGAAAAAATTTGTTTCTCAACCCTTCATTGATCATAACTTAGGCACTAGAGCTAAAACATTCACAAAAACAACAGGACCTTCAGCCCAGCAGTTTTTTTTTGACAATTGTTATTTTTTTTTTTTTAATGTCGAAAATTCAACACAGCCTCAAATATTATTCCTTGCATATTTTAACACAACTGGATTTTAGTTTATTCAAATTACAGTTTTTTACGCACTGTTACGGATATGTAAGAGCATATAGGTATGTATGCTTGTATGTATGCCATTATACAAATTATAAAAAAAAAGATAATAAAATACTAAACCAAATCAAATTTTTAATTTCGAAACAACAACAAGTAGCAACAGCAAAGTCTCAAAAACTTCATAGAAGTAAATGTGCTTTAGTAATTATAACTTAATATATTTAATATGCATGTATATGTGTGTGTTTGTGCGTATTAGACATAAATAATCATTTACTTTAGGTTAAGGTCAACTAGAAAAAGCGAACGTTTAAGCAAGAAAAGAATTAGCAAAGTAAAAACACAAAGGAAAGAAATCAAAACAAAACGGCAATTACAGCTAAGAAAATATTGTGAAAAAATTAAGACCTACCAGAAGTTAAATATTTAGAATAAGATTAAAAGCATGTCAACTGTGCGCTAATTTGCTTGTTAGAGTCAAATAGCTGCAGTTATTAATTGCAACTTTGGTAAGCGACTTTCAAAAATAACATGCCACAATTTTGTTTTGACGTTGCGAACTAAAGTTGGTGTCAAGAAAAATCTGCATGAAATAATTTTTATTTTATAATATTTATTTTATTTTAATGATTCAAGTTCAAAGTCTATAACAAATTTAAAAAAGAACCAGCGAAATATATAGACGTTTGCTCGCAGCGAAGGCTTAGCGGCTTGATTTTAACAAAAGACTTTTGTAACGAACTTGTTTTGATTTTTTTTATTGATTTTAGCATGCAAAACTAAATAAATTTCTTTAAAAAACTATGAAAAAATATTTAAAACGGATCTAAGAAATTATTAAATTACTTTTTTCAGAAAAAGGGAAACGTGTTTAAAATTTAAAATCAAATACATCATTTCACATCTACTTTTACATACAAAGAGAGAACCTTGCTGAAAATCAATCACAGCTTAAAAACAAATCAATAAACAAAAAAAAAAAATACATGAAAAAGATGTTTAAAAAATACCAAAAAAAATTTACTCTTTCTTCTTTTGTTTTAATTTTGTTACAACTTTATTTAGTTATGTGACGAACTTGTTTTGATTTTTTTATTGATTTTGGCCTGCAAAACTAAATAAATGTCTTAAAAAAAATTAAGAAAAAAATATATAAAACGGATATAAGGGTTTATTTTTTTTTCAATTTTGCTACAACATTTTGTGTCAGAAAATGTATAAACAATTTAAAATAATAGTTTAAAATCAAATACATCAGTTAACAACCACTTTTATATACATAACCCACATACACACAGAGATCCTTTCTAAAAAGGAATCATAACTCGACATTGAACATTCAATTTATTGCTTACATGCAAAAAATTGCGCTTACATTTTACAAAACGACAAACAATGAGCAAATAATGTAATGCTAAATACACAATGTTATTACATTTTTTTTTTTTGGAAGAACTTATATTCATACACCGTAATAATTTTTAACACTTCCGTACCTTTTATGCGAACCAAAATCAAAACACCGTCAAAAATTTCAGCCAAATTGGTAAACTGTCAGACTGTGACAATCACTGCCAAAATACACTGCTTTGCTCAATTTGCTCGTTGTGCACCCGATCAGCTGAGTGTCGTGTGCTTGAAGAATTATCGTCCGTGCGTAGCCACCACAATGTAATCGAAACTCACGTATTAGTAAAATAGCAAACAAACAATTTATTAGTATTTATAGGTATTATTCTCGAAACTCAAATCGGCCGTCGTTTACGGCCGCCAAGAAGACACTGACACCGTGTTCCATAACAGCAGGTGTATAAATAAACAAATTTACACACCGCGCACATTTGCACAGTCGAACGCAGTCAGGCGTGCCACACACACACACACACACACAACAAGCACATAATCAATGTTGAATGGTCCAACATTATTGTCGTAGCACACACACTCGCATTCGCGAACGCCTTAGCCTGTGCTTTTCGCTCGCATTCTCGCCTCCGAAACCGAGCGGCTCGCCGCTGTTGAGCCACCAGCAATTTAAGGACAATATCATTCTTCAACTATACTATACAAGTGTGTGCATGGTTATGTGTGTCGATTGCTTTACTCATCGCTAAGCTTCAAATCGAACATGTTCGATGCCGGCTCTACAATTGTTTGTTTTGCGGCGATCTTGCATTATTTCATTTGCCAAACGTGTGCAATTATGTCTTGCTCATTTGCGTTTGTCATTTGTTTAAGCTTTGTATTCTCAGTCAGTTTTGCATTTTAGCGCTGAAGTAGCACGAAAATAACAGAGAACAGTAAAAATGGTCAAGGTGGACGTAATGTAATGGGGTAACGCAGATGTTTTCCACAAAGTATTGTATTTGTTGATTTGCAAAGAAGTTAGCTTTATTTACCTGCTAGTTAAACTTAGCGCACTGTGCGGCTTTTACAGATTCAACTACAACCAAAAATAAAGTATAGAATCTAACTATTTAAACACTGATTTACATTGAGAAACTACTAAATATTTTAAATCATACAAATAAAACAGAAAAATATGAGAGCCACTCTAGTGCTGCCAAAGTATTTTTAATAGCATTGTAATATAAAGATTTTATATTAGAAGTTTCATTTAAACTTGATATTTTGTCATCAAATGAAAATGTGCAGTGATTTTTAAACTACTTTTAATGTTATATGTTTATACTGAGCAGGCAGAAAATTTTTTAAGAAAACTTTTATTTCGGCTGCGTCTAAGCTGTAATACCCATCAATGGTGCATTTCATGCCAACTTTATGTATAACTAATTCCGAAAACGCGACCGACCAATGATTTGCATCCAACAGAAAGCGTTTTGCTAGTTCTTTCTAGCCACGTTGTATGATATAAACAACCTTCAAACTGAATTCAGGTTACCTAAACGGTTAAAAAACGGTGACTTTAGCTGCGCCGTAGCTAGGTGCATTTCTTTTAGTAACTACTACATATATGACTACATCTCAAAAAGTAACCGGCCAACGGTTTGCATCCAACGGAAAATATTTTGCTAGTCACCAGGCTGTTTAATATAAACAATCTTCTAGTCGAATTAAAGTTAGTTAAAGATAATAGATTAATATTTATTCGTCTTTCCTCCACATACCTTAAGTCTTGAAGACATTCTGGAATATCAGGAAACTCCAACCCTTCCGATAGGCAGATATTTGTGATTTTATCTATTATTCTAATTAAGGAAACTTCGATGACAGGTAAAAAACTTTTATAGCATCTTCCAAAAGTGCAAATTTTGCTGAAGTCTTTCTTTCCAGTTTTTGCGCTTGGTGAGGGAACCAAGTGCCACCGCAACACACGCATGTTTCAGTAGGCCCTTTCTTTATCAACAATGCATACGTAACAAAGATATTGGCAGCTCGACGTTGTCGTTGTCGTCTACATAGCACGTGCATAACTGTCGCGAGTTCTTTCTTCATTCCGTTACTCCAAATTTAAACTGCGTATTTTTGCAATCTAGTCGGCGTTCCTCTATCGATTAGTTTCCAAATTTTTACTCGTAGCATTTTTATAATTAAATTTAAAAAAAATTTGCCTAAGTAATAAATAAACTAAATATAATAAACAAATATTGACAATAATGTATAAATATATTGTTGTAAATATTTTTTAAAAAGTATTTTTGTTTTGAGTTAATTTGAAGTTGTTTACGATGTTTAAAGTTTAAGCTGCACGCCTAAACTGAATTATATATAATTTTTATTAAAAGCTCGAATACGAAAATCTATATAGTAGTTTGTATAGCAGCTGTATGCTATAGTTGTCCGATATGAAAGATTCATGTAGAGATTGTGGCCTTGCTTGGGCAATAATCCATATTAAATTTCGTGAAGATATCTTATGTAATGAAAAAATTTTCCATACAAGCACTTGATTCCGATCGTTCAGTTTGATTTATGAAGATCTTTATGATCCGATCTAAATAATTTGTTGGGAGATTGTTCCGTTGTTTTAGACAATAATGCATACTAAATTTCCTTACTACTACAAGTACTAGACTACTTTACGTCTTTAATAACATTTTCCATTATCAATTAAATAGGTATATATATATATATATTAAAGTCTGGACCGATTTTATTTATTTTTATGATATTTGTGGACCAACAATATGATATAAAGTCAATCGAACGTCATTATATTGGGGCTATGGGAAGGTTGCTACTGATTTTATCTATTTTACATTGTATTAAGGTGTCTCACACAATAACTGACATATTTAATAGGAAGGTAAAAAATCATTATATTTGGTATATAGGAACTTCAGTATTTCATGGACCAATTTCCCTCTAATTCGGCAACAAACTGGAGTTAGTTCACAAAGAATAACGAAAATCATGATATTGATAAATGGAGCTATGGGACTGAGCGCATTCGTTTCTATTTTAGTAGCAAACCACATTTTTAGCAGGAAAAAATGCTCACTTAATTTCATCATACTTATAGCAAATTGACCGATATTTTCGGAATATAGTCAGTCAGAGTTGGGCGTGGTTATTATCTGATTTTACATTGTAGCACTAAATTCTAACACAAAATTTTAGTTATAACAAAACTAAACTAATGCAATAAGTAGTTTGGAGGATAATACATGCATAAGGTCTCTTAAAGCGCGGGGTCACGCGCACATTTCACAAACTTTAATCTGTGACTTACTTATAGCGCTTTATATACTCTTAAAAAGACCATCAGATGAACAACTATTATACTGTATGCAGTTTATAATATAAAAAAGATCTTGTTTTAGTATACAGCTTTAAATTATTATTTCAATTTATATTTGCGATTTTTTTTTCAACAGGTTGATGAACTACGAAAATTCGTTTTAAAAAATCAAGTTTAAAGATTAAGTGTGTGTCTCTCAGGTACTTCCTCATGCTTTCATACAACGAAATCTGGTCAAGGAGTAGGCATTGAATTAGTAGAGCTAAAAAACGCGTTTTAGTAGCTACTCTTTTCATATTTAAAATTTCAATAATTTCAAAAATTTTCTACAAATCTGAGTATTTATCACGTGTTCACCTTAGCATCGTGCTCTTCTTCGGGGACTCACGGCAGCTTCACCCCGACCAAATTAATTCGTGTATGTCTTTTCACCTTTGATTTGGTTTAACTCTTCGCTGAAGAAGTTGAAGTTCACGGCTTTTGCATGCATAAACGCTAATTAATATATTTTTCAACTCTGTGATGAGCGAGTGTGTTCACCAAAAGCAAAATGCGACATTAATTAGCATAAATAGCTGCTTATTATATACATATGTATGTATAATATTATATATAGAAGGTATATAGGAATGTGTTATTTTGTAATGACATGTATTGTAGTTAATATCAAGTTTTGATAATATTTTCTGCTATAAATATGCAGGGCCGGAAGTAGCATCTTGTCAGAGTGCAACGGTGGCTTAGCGCGGACATTGCGATTTCCCCCTGTTGAAGATTTATCATTGAGGAAACTACTATTCATGAATGTTTGATATTGTTGCCTTTGTAGCGATCACTCGGACCCTGTTTAGTTGTAAGAATTAAATGTGGTGTCATCGATGTCGTCTAAAGATCGGTCTCAGAAATGTACTCTTTCAACGGAATGTGAAAGCTATATCTCAAAATGGCCAACGAAATTACAGAGCCTCGTTAGGTCATCAATAATCATAGTGTCATATACCAGTAGTTGTTGTTTTTGTATCGACAAAAAGTATTTTGAGAAATACTGATGAGACCCGTTTGCAAATTATCAAAAGTCACATCAAGTAGTAGACTTGACTGTACAAACTTTTGGTTAGTAAAATAAAAATTGCCGAGAGTTTCATATGGGAGAGTATACAGCTCCTCGCATTGCAGAAGACACGAAAAATGCCTGGGAGAGTTTCCCCCTTTTTATACCCTGAAGAGGGTAGATTAAGTTTGGCACGAAGTTTGTAACACCCACAAGTAAACGGTTATGGCTAAATCAACTCAGGTCTTCATACTTATCATTTATGTATGTGTATTTTATAAGGTAAGCGAAAGATTTATTCAGAGACAATTTACGTCAGAGACCTTATAAAATATGTATATATGTATATACATGTATATAAATGATAAGCATGAAGACCTTTTTTTTCGTTTCGTTTTTTCTCGTTTCATTTCAGATTTCACATATGTTAGAGTGGTGTGTTTAAAAAAACAAGCGTCCATTTTTGAATGTTACAGCTATCGCTTTCTCACAAGATGAATTTTGGTTTAGGTCAGGAATTATCTTCGAATTTATGACCCACGACCAGTATTTTTATAAAGGATGGGATTTTCACTTTACTAATCGGAATAACTTGAAACTCTCAACCCAAGTTTACGTGTGCGTTACGTTTACCCATTCTATTCATACTTTACGTTAGGTATAGCGGATACAATGGGTAGGGCAATTATATTAAATATAGGATATATGGACCCATGTACCACCGAACTCACGGAATGGAAAATCGCTTTTTTCGAATGAACAAAAGTTTAGCAGAAATGACCCCAAAATAAAGTGCCTCCAAACAACTACGGTGACCTCAATAGACCCATAATTAAAAGCTGTCCTCCAAGAAACCTAATTAAATTTCAACACACATCTTCGAAATTGTACAAGTTTCATGTAAGGACAGCAAAAATGGTAGCTTAGCATTTGTAGTGCAGTCCAGTATATTCAAGGTTACAAAGACTGTAGAGATGCTACGATGTCATGGATATAGTATCAAACAGGTGGTATCGAATTCGAAGAATTTAATATTAGTTATATATACAAATATTCTGCCAGTTTCATTTTGCACATTAGGATATCACCTATATATACATATATATTGTAGGTAGATATACATACAGTGAACCAAAAACAACGTGCACGAGATGATTTGACTTTGAGTCGAAATCGATTGAATGCAACAACAAGGTCCGGACAGTTTGAGGGAGAACTTTTGCAATGAAAGCTTTCTCTAACTCCTTAGCAATAGCGACAACGAATATTTTGGGATATTCCTTGATACTCCGAGCAATTTTATTCATCGTGGAAGGTGCAAATTGTTTGGACTTTCCGCTACCATCAAGTCTTCCAACTTCACCAGCTATTCTGAAATTAGCTATTATGTACTGAACAGTAGTATTTGGTTTTTCGACAATATTGTCTATTTCGTCAATATTTGACTACCAGAGCATGAAAATCCTGATATGCTTGTTTATTTACCATTTTTTAAAGAACTAAAACCACACATAAGAAACTCAATCGCCAAAAATTCTACACAAATAATACCAGACAATAATAACGGTACCTACTAGAAAACTGCATTTAAAGTGTTGCCAACGTAAGTGTACAAGTTATTTTTGGGCACGAAAACATCAGCTCTCTCTCTCTCTCTTTAAGTATTTATTTTTTTAATTTTTTGCTAAATCGTACAGTTCAATTATCGAATGGATTTTGGCAAAGATGCCAATATCATCGCAACGCTCTATTATATCATCATTCCTTAACAGCTTACTGGAATTCATTTCAATATCTCTCAGGGTCAAACCAGCAAACCGCTCTTCACTTAAATTAATGCGTACTGTAGCACTGCCAATGCATTTTCCTTCTGCATCATCATATTCGTAGATCTGAAAGCATGCCAACTCATCCTGCTCTTCAAGTTGGGAAGAAGAAGATACAACAGGTGATTGGTTAATATCGTCCGATGTGTTATTGACTTCCGAACATACCAAATTTAGTGTGGACTCCGGACACATTGCGATTTTACAGTACGAAGGTACTGTTGTATTTTGCGATTCCAACATTAATACATTTGTTTTAGATATTTTAGAAACGCTTTCATTCAATTCTTGTATGTTATCGTGCTGAATCTCACAATTTAATTTCTTTTTCGCTGTTGGAGTTTCTTTGGTGATATTTTCGCGGGGTGTATCAGCAACAAATACTTGTGTCTCATCATCATCAATAAGTAGTAGCGGCGGTTGCGGCTGTAGCTGTGTTTCTTTCGCTATATTTGTATTGTCTGCGACGCAGGAATCACTGTCTTTTGATTGTATTACGTCTTGATGATGGACTTGATTTGGTATAATTATTGAATTTTCATTGAATGAGTCACTATCCGTGGAATGTATTAAGACAGTTTCTTGAACTGCAATTACGCTGTCAGTAGACTCGGCTTCTATTGAAAACATTGTATTACTATTCTTAATTGAATCGTCAGTACGATTTTTTAACACCGAAAAGGATCCTGTTGATGAATTCAATTCACACTCCTTTTTTGGAATTACAGTAATAAAACTATCAGATGACATTGTTTCGTCTTCATCGGAGAAGGTAGCTACAAAACTAGACACTGCTGATTTATTTACATTAGCATTGTTCTTTGTCATAAAAATGCTCTTATCGATCACATCATTCGTATTCGACGTTAACGCTTCCTTTTCTTGCAAACTAGTGACATTCGCTTCGGTATTCGCGCAAGTCGCACACTTAAATGTGGTTAAGGGCTCTTTAGCATTTTCTTTGCCTAATAAACATTTGGGATTATGGGCGCCTACACTGCCGCACAATGAACATAGTATCACGGACCATTTACCTAAAATGTAGTTAAAATTAAATATTTACAAAGAATTTTAATACAAAAATTAATTAAAGGAATTCACCACTATGGTAATCACGTCCTTTTGGACAAAGACACACTTCCATATTACAGGTGCTGTGTCCACGGTATAAGTCGGTATATATGCCTTTCTGAGTTTCCCAACGTGCATCCCTATCCGGGACAAAAACTCCCTGTGATCTTACAGAATCGCGAAAATCCTTGCTACGGCACCAAAGGCAACGCAAATAATAACCAGCTGCCAATGCATACTGTTGAACGCATATATAATGGGCATAACCTCGGTTGCAGCATTTACCAAATATAAACGTTATTTCATTGTACAAGCCCATTTGGTCGCGACAAATGCTACAACGTTCAAAACTAGATGGGCGTTTCTGCAATCCCATCGGTTGAAGCTCTTTCCTGGGGACGCATTCATCGCAATATGAATGAAAATCATCGACAAATGTGTATAGACAGCGATTTTGTCGTCCACAAAGTAAATGAAAGTACTCATTACATTTAAAGCATTGTATCGAAGCATTTTGACGGCCACAATAGCAACACAGACGTTTGGAAGCGGCTATAATTTCTTTGCGTATGTCTCGCACCAGAAAGCCGTTTATACCACTGCAATCTTTGCCTCTTTGTGGTAGATTAGTAGAGAGTAACTGCAAAGAAACATACCATCTAATTTAGTATTTGAGGACGTTATTATAGGATGTTGTCATACCAAACAAAAGTAATGTACGTTTATATCTCGAGTATGTTGCCAATCTCCGAACATTAGTAGATCAAATGTACAATTTGTCTTATCTTTACAAATATCACAGATTTTATATTTATTTTCAGACATTTTACAAAATCTAATAAATTTCAAACAAAAACAAATTACACAAAACCGCTTATTTTGTGCCACTTCTTGATACGAGAATTCATTCACAATTATAACGTAATAAAACTCTCACCACACTAGTTCACAATAGTAGACATCTTAAAAATTTTAAATTGCTTTTAAAATAAATTTTTTTTATTTTAAATAAGCAATAAAAACACATTTTTCTGTTGCTTTTGCTTTTGATATTCAATTTAGTATATTAAGTAGTATGACTGGTTTCAGAATTTTATTACTGTTTAATAATAAATATAGCTAATAAGTAAAAGCAGTCTTACCCTGCCATCCTATTTCATATAGTATTCTTCTTTATAACAATAATCACACTTTTTATAAACACAATATTCTTTAAACCCTTGGCTAATTACCCAAGAGCGCTACCGGAGGTTTCTGTGAAAGTTTCTATTAGTTTCTTAAATCCGAATTGACAAACATAACTTTAAATATTGTGTACGTGCGATCGTTCATCTCTTTTTGACGCATAAGGCTTATGAGTTGCATAGTGCGTATGTGTTAGTTTGCATGATAATCCTAATATTGGAGTTTTAGTAAACGTAACTTCAATTTAAATAAAGTCATGCGATTTTTTTATTTCTCACCACTTCATGTTAACCAAGCGGTTCATATCTCTGCTGTGGCCAACTGTACCCATGCTTTGTCATCTAGGCGCACTGTTTTCACCGCAGAGGGATATTTCTTTGACGTTTTCATGATTTCTTTCGCCTCTTGTGAATATGCAATTGTGCGGGATTTCATTCAAGCGGACGTGTGTGAGTGCATTGTAAGCGGAGAACCAAAATCTGCATTTTATTTGCGATAAAAAAATAGTTGACCGAAAATACAACACAACGCGCAGAGCAGAAAGTATACAATATACAAAAGAAAGGTTTGTGTGTAAAATTTATAAAGTGTTAAATAAGCTTTTAAATACAATTTTTGGCGGCATTGAGTGCTGAAATTCGAGTGGCGTCTGAAATTTTCATGTTGAGGTAGGAAATTTCAATTTGATATAGAGACTTTTTGCATAACGATGTTTTGCCGGGATTAATGAAGCAGTATAAGTGCAGTTATCTTTTCTAATAAATAGTAATGTAAAAGATTTACAAGAGCAAAAGTTTAGTGGACGTAAGGGATAAATTTGTATCTAACCTTCAATTAAGGAATATTTGTAGTAAAACGCGTAAAAAAAAAGAGACGAACCGCCATTTTTAAAAAGCCAGGGCCGAGTCTAGCGACTCCTTTGTGCGCTACAGTAGTGGCAAACAATATTGAGATACGAGTAAACATTTATTCTGTTTATATATGTATTCATACACATATTTAACTAAATTATACTAAGCATGTGTATATTAGTTATACTTTACAACGCAAATATAAATTTGTAGCTTAATTTAAATTTTTTGCTATTTCTCTAATTTTATATGCGGTGTACTACATCGTGTTTTGTACTACGAATTGTATAATGAAAACAAAACCGTGAAATATCAACATATCCCCCACACCACATTGTAGAGACTGCTGTGTAGAGCTCACTCTTTAATATGTAAAATTAAATTTGTTTATGCATGTACTTTCTTAGATATAAATTGTGTCGCTATTAGATTAGATTAGATTAGTTTCGAGGTATGCACCGCGACCTATGGTCTATTGTGCCCTCCCCTAAGTCATATCGTATCATCTAGGCCCAGCATGTTGATAAATTGTGTCGCTATACTTCATGAATGTGCCCTTTCATAGTTTAAACTATTATAAGATAATATATAGAATATATTATGAATTATTTTATCTGATATAAACTATATTGATTTATTCTATATATATTTTTATAAATTTATAATAACATTTGATTCTTACGATGAATTAATTAACTGCATGCATTTGTACTTCTCATTACAAGTTTCTCGTGTGCATAGTATCTCCACCCTATAATTAACTATTCCAATCACATTCATATATCAGTATATTTTCTGATTTTGTTAAATCTTTGCAACAAACCCACTAAAATATAAAAATGCATGATTGTATGTATGTATGCATGCATTTTGATGGTGCAACTGTCCGCTAACATTTATTTCTATACGTACCAGAAACAAATAGTAAACGGTGGGTCTGTCGTCTGTTTGTGCTGACAGCTATACGATGAACTTTCTATTCGTGAATATGGTTTTTATGTGTATGCGTTGTCGCAAATTATAAGAGAAATGATATGGTGTTTTCTTGTCTAGCTAAAATTGCCAACAACCATTGGTGTGAGCCTTGTGAGAAAATATTGTACTCTATAATACAGTAATTTATATGTATATAGACTGATTGCGTTCTAGATGAAAAGAGTCTCACAGGATTTACAACTTATAGCTTAGCATTTTTGGATATTATTTGGATCTTTAATAGTATGAAAATTTACAGAAAACTATCCAATAATAATACGCCTAGCCTCGTATTACTTGAAAGTTAACCTTCAGAAATGTTCTTTTCTATTAAAAAATCTACCTTCTGTTGCTTTTTGTTTCCTTATATCTCGGCTGTTTACCTATGCGGCGCCCATGCTATGATCGCACCAGGTTGATGACTACCTACCGGCAATCAATATGCTTGTTTTTGGTTGCCAATGGTTCGGACCAAATGGCATCAGAAACTGATTGCTGGTATTTATGATGTGATTTTATATAAACTTTACAAATACATTCCTGCCTTTTACGTTTATGTACACATATATATAAATGTGTAGTGTTTTTAGTAACCTAAAGTTTAAGTCTTTGGAATTAAAAAGGTTCGTGCCAAAATTTACTTAGATTGAAATTTTTATCCGAAATCGTTGAAGTGTATCACCAATAACTATTCAGGCATAACGGATTTCAAATGCGGACGAATACATATTCAATAGGTATATTTGGTTGTCATGTTTGTGCCCATTTGGTCATTTACTTGTGTCAAATATTGACATTTTGTGTAGATACCGGAAGTGAGGGAATTTTTTATACCAGTGGTGCGACGTTGATGGCTATACCGTTGTAAATGAAAGGGAGGCATAAAGTGCTATATACACACACAGGCATGTATTCAAAAACTTCTACCTGAACAGTATTTCATATCAGGGTTAAATAAAAATTATTCGATTTCGTTTGCCGTGTGTTTATAAGTTAGCTGGGTGATTTTTTATTCAAAAATAGTTTTAGTGTTAGAGACCCACCTTAATGCCTAGCATACATACATATTAAAAATTTGAATTACTAATAATCTACAAACGAGTATTCTGTATAGATTTAAATTCCATTCTCGATGAACCGTTTTATTTTTTTTTATTTAAGTGTGCATGAAAAAATTACAACAGCATTCATTGCAAACTTTACAGCCACGCGAATGTGATTGCGCTCAAAGCCATACTTAGATATGCATCTGCATACAGATGTAAACTGGTGGACCGATAATTAGAAACATCTTATTTTTGCAAGTTTTGTTCGTTCAGTTTAAATTTTAAATTTGTAGTTTTCCAGGGGATTAAATGGAAAAACTTGTACAAAATTGGAATTATTTGGTTTTCGTTGCAGCATGAACTACTTTAAAAAGGTTGGTTTATTTTATTCTAAATTTGTAAAACGCAAAGTTTCTAATTATCATGCCACTACTGTATATAAATATGAACTATAAATTCTTTAGTATCGTTAATGCCCCGGAGCTTGCATAATAATTGAATGATTTAAGGCGCTATTAGACATACCAGTTATAATATTTTTTTGCTTAAACTTTTATTTTAAATTTATTACACCCTCAACAATGTATATTAATTTTATTGCCACGAAGTTCTCAGAAAGCAACGTTGGATATCCTATGAAATTTTGCACATCCTCCTTTTTTCCCAAAGAAGCAGTTCATTTGTCGGAACCGTCGATATCGGACAACTATAGCATACTGACTATAGCAACTGAACGATCAAAACCAAGTCCTTGTGGTTTTTATAATCTTTTATGCTATACGAGATGGACCTGTGAACTATATTATAGCTTCTGTGCAACCGAAGTTAGCAAGCTGCCTGTCGGAGAATGTACATCATATGCATTCTGATCTTCTCTTTAAATTATTTGAAGGAACTATAGAAGAGCCAATGTATATAATGTATTTACGTGCGATCTTTTTAAATATTAAGTGGGCATTCAGTAGAACGCTGGTACGGTTGTTGATCTCCAACACCAAGATAAACGATCAGTTAAAACCCATACACTCAAAGAGCTAGAAAAAACGCGTCTTTTCTTCGCTTTTAAGAACATACATACCTATATATTGTAATGTTTGTTTTATGTTAGACGTAAGCACACATAAAGTCAACGAAATGTAAACAAACACTGATAACTTACGTATACTTGAAGTAGTTAGGGTAGCATATCTTTGCTTCCATTTCAAAGAATGTATGATAAAATTGTATCACAGGGCAAAAGCTTGAATAAATAAATTATAATGTTATCATATGTGCTTAAAAAACCATTAAATAACTGTGCTAGTGTTTGTGTCAGTAATTTTTTTTGTTTTGTATATATTCAGTTATATTTAAAATAATAAATTTTTTTATTTTTATAGATACACGCTACGATTGAATAAATTTCATATCTACTAATTAACGCCAAGATGTCGACAAAGGCTACAACACAACACACGCGTCGGGCACCACTTTCGCTATCCGGCGGCGGCAAACAGCAGAGTCAAAATCATTATAGCGGGAAATCTGCAGACTCCAACGGCAATTCAAGTAATAGCGCTAGCGCTAAAAATGACAATAAGCATTCTGCAAGCCAGAAGACAGAAGCCAGTGTTAACGATGTAAAAGACGCGACACCGAAAGATTTGAAGAAACCACAAAACGCTGACAAAAAGCAACAACAACAATCCGCCAATAATGAGACAGTTAAGAAAAATGAAAAGACTGATGAGAAGAAAACTCAAAATGGCAGTGGCAAAGTGTCAACGAACGGCGGTGCCAAGGAGAAACAGCAAAATGGCAGTGATAAACAGGACAATAATAGTAATAGTAATGGCTCCAACGCCAAGATGAGCTCTACTAACTCAAATGGTAATTCCAACGCCAAGGTTAATACAAAATCAAATGAAAAGGCTGCTACACCAGCTGCAAAGGAAGATGTAAAAACTAAGGAACCGAAACTTGCAGAGCCCGCTGAAAAGAGTGAAAAAGAGTCTGAGAAGGAGAAGGAAAAGGAAAAGGAGAAAAAGAAAGAAAGTGAACAAGAAAAAGAGACTAGATCTCGACGTCATGAGGCAACGGTAGCAGCAGAACTGGAAAAGAAACAAACGGACAAAAATGAACCTAAGAAAGGTGATGATTCTAAAATGGAAGTAGCTACACCAACATCTCGATCCAGTGCTGGACAAGCTAAGTCTAGGGCTACACCTACAACAGGTGTGGAGAAATCTGGCAGAAGTACACCCACAAAACCGATGGAAAAGTCAACTGCTTCACCACGTAACAAAACCATTACCACAGTCATCGATGATGTTGAAATGGAACCACTAACCGTGGAGTCTTCACCAGCAAAGTCCAAAGAGAATACTTCATCTGTCGCGGTCGCTGCAGCTGCTCGCGTGCTCCAGCCACCAGCCGCCACTTCGACTCCCGGAAAAGCACCAGCAACACAAAAGACTAAAACACAAACCGTCGATGCCAAATCAGATCACCCGATAAATGTACCTAGCTGTGGCAGTTCACCGGATCGCAAGAGTGTACCACGCACTATTACACATATCGGTGGACGCCGTAGCATACGTCCGCTTAACGAATACACTCCTTCAAAATTCCAAAGTAATTTACAATTTCGTGAATCCTATCGTCGCATTAACACTGAATTAGATGTCAGTTCTACCACCAATAGCAGCATGAATGTAACAGTTGGCTCAGAGATACCAAACAACTCATCCTTTTCATTTTTCGGACGTGGTCGCAAACGTGACCGTACGCCACCGCGCCAATCGCAATCCACTATGGAATTGCAAACTGACGCTGACTATTCGCCGCCGAAACGTGCACGCTTAGATATGTATACCTTGTTTAGTGTAGTTTCTTCGCCCTTAACAATGTTACGTTCGCGGTTTTCGAGAGCTTCCATACAAAGCAGCACACCGGTGAAGTTGACCACTAAACTTGCAGCCACAGATGAGGATGAAGCTGATGTACAAAATGTTTCTGGCATTTCAATTGAAGAGGAAACCGCTACCGATGGCGCTGAAAGTGACGAAAAGACTGCGACCGAAGATGTCACTGTAGAGAAGAATACTGACGATGACACTACACCCAAAATAGACTCACCAATGAAGGTTGATGAAAAGTGTGGTATGATGGAGAAGGGCGATAAAGTGAGTGATGAGATGGAAGAAGACGCAGCCAAGTTCTCGAATGTACACGAGGTTGCAGCAGGTATCGCAGACACGTCCGTTTCTTCGGTTAAAAATAAGAGATGTAATATTATGTAAAGTTTGTTTGTGAAGAAATTAAGCGTATTGTCTATAATAGTTACCATAATTTTCTTTAAATGTTTCAGATGTTTAAATTTTGTACATCTATGCATGTTAAAACGTCGAAACATTAATTTTACGTTCGTAATCATACATATCCCCGTTTGTTTATTTACGTTCACACATAACATATTCAACACATTCACACTTATATAGTGTTCATCATATAATGTATTTGTTTAAGTGCAGATAAGCTTAGTGGGTTACGAGTGTTGTACACCCCAAACACATTATTAAAATTTAGTTTTGATCCGCCAATTTATACAACATATGTATAAATGTATAACTTAACTGAAGTGAAATTCAAGATAATATTTGAAAGAGTAATATTTTCTAATATTTAGTAATAGTTGTTGTGAAAGTATAAGACAATGCCATTTGTTACGGTTTTGAGTGTCAGTTTTCCTGAGATATTTGTCAATTCGCTAACTTAGAACGGTAATCCGTATATTTGATTGTTGTTGTTGTCTTATATTATTGCAACAACAAATTTATATTTAATAAAATATTATATTTCAGATTCACCGCATTTTGCATGTCAAGAAAATACTAGTTTTTTTTTATGTTTTTCTGCAAGTATTTCTGCGCAGAAAGGCATAAAAGAATAAATATTTTGTAGAATAATAAAATTTTATATGTTTGCTTGATTACTCATTATAGAAATTATAATAATTTAGTTTTTTAGTTTAAACTCAAATCATACCCCATTTGCATTTTAAGTAAGCATACATATATATTTAAAGAGACCTTACGTAATACATACGATACAAGTATGTACATATTTACAGTACCTTACGAACGTTGAGTGTTTGTAATCGTCATAAGATTTGTGTATTAATTTTTCGTTTGCAAATAACACATTTTAAATTAAAGCGTTTGTTCATCAACCATAATAAACGCATAATTTCATGAATAGTTTTACATATATATTTGTACTCATCTTATGCATTACAATGATAATATAAATACATACTATATTTATAAATGTATGGCAATTTTTAACAATATTCAATATTCGTAATAAAGATTTTATACAAAATATAAAATATTTTTATTCGCACTACCAAGGGTCATTCGGTACATAAGACAAAGAGAAATGTCCGCTTCTTCAAATCGGACAGGTCTATATAACACTCACGGATCTGAATACACATACCATAAAGCATTGTCACAGAAATTCCCAAAGACGTTGTACAAATCAATAACAATCCACAAAGTTAAGTTCGTATTAGTTTTAGTATTACCTCCATCATACCACTGTTGAATTTTAAAAATTGGAGCAACTTTTATTAAAAGTAAGTGAAAGTAATTTTGAAAAGTTACAATGATGTTTTCAGTAGGTAAATTTTACGGTTACTTAATTTAATTTTATAAACAATTTTTATAAGAATAAACTTTTATTTTTGTGCTTTTAATAATAACTTTAAATAAATAACAAAATGTGGCGTAAAACTTCAACACAGTCTACGCCACCCTTATTTCTTACAAAAATGGCAGCATTGGCTTCTCGAAACAGTAATTTGGCAGTACTCTGCATTGGCAGTTATGTCAAATTCATTTTCATTTTCAACGTTCGGTCTGATTTTAAAAGAATTATGCTGCGTTTTATAATTCTGTGTGCAATTTCTCACTTTCCGTTGGGTTAAATGACTTTAAAAAAATAATTAATAAATACTACAAATCAAATACAATCAAGGCAAAGTTATTTAAAATTGAATACTTCTAGTAACCAAAGGTTACTAATTAGTGCGCGTTAAAATTTCATCTAGAACTTTACGATCGTAACATGGAAAAAGAGGAGACTGCAACAGTGCAGTATCATCATAGCGATTATAAGACACCCAAAAAGACATCCATAATAATAGATGGCGAACGCTTATTGGATAAGATAAACATATTAACGACTAGGCCGGAAAATCAGTCATGTACAAAGGTATAAATTGGACGATCTTTGTAAAGAAATTTTATTGTCTTATAACTTAACATTATGTTGTATCTAATTTACAAAATACGAATATTTGTTGGTGCTCAATTTAATGCAATCGTAATGTTCAGTTAGCTTTGCGAAGTTCCAGCGGTATTCGTGGTGCATAACTTTGCATATATCAAGACATACATTTTTCCCATCTGTTCATACTATTTTCTACAGTCAGTACAATACCACATTATGTTAATAACCAAGTTTTATATATGTAAAATTATTTAAGTAATACGAGTAAAATAATAAAATCATTTTCTTCAGCTACCGACCATAAAGGACTTTGTTATTATTAAGCCAATAAGCCGCGGTGCATTTGGAAAGGTATTTCTGGGATATAAAAATAATGATCCAAATAGATTATATGCCATCAAAGTTATGCGAAAGTCCGAGATGATAAATAAAAATATGGTATCACAAGTGATTACGGAACGCAATGCTTTGGCATTATCACGTAGTCCATTTTGTGTTAGCCTCTTTTATTCGCTACAATCGATCTCGTACGTCTACTTAGTTATGGATTATATGGTAGGTGGTGATCTCAAATCGCTCCTTACAATGTACGGGTACTTTGACGAAGCAGCAGCGCGTTTCTACGTTGCAGAAGTTGCGCTGGCGTTGCAATATTTACACGAGCACGGCATTGTGCATCGCGACATAAAACCAGATAATATGTTGTTATCAGCGACTGGTCATGTAAAGTTGACCGATTTCGGTTTAAGCAAGATTGACAATCGTAGAGGTAAATATTAAATTTTTAACAATTATTTATTAAGTAAATATTTTGATTTTTCAGATTTGGAAATTTCAGATTTGATTAATATTTCGCCCACTTTAAATACACGTACACCGGGCCAGTTGCTTTCTCTTACGTCACATTTATCCTTTGGGTCAGAAAAAAAAATGGAGTGTGGTACTGGAATTTCAAACCTGATGAATGCTATGAATAAACGCAGTATGAATGTTAATATGTTTATATTACTATATATTTGTTAAATTTTTTATGCTTCAGATATGAAAACTGAGTCTTCAGATAGTGAGGCAGACACATCATTTAATGAAGCAGAACGCACAAGCGATAGCAAAATCTCTGGTGTTTCACCGTTCTTTTCCGCCGAGGAGATTAATGTATCGGTTTCACACACATGCACTCTTAATGTGAGTTTGTAAAGAGATTATAACTTATTTTCCATAAAAATAAATACATTTATTTACGACTTCGTTTGCAGACACAACTGGTCGACAGCACTTCTTCGTACCACACGTGCACATCCACAGAGATAAGCAAAAACGACACAAGTAGCGGTGGTGTAAATGCAGCCATAAATGCAAAACATGTTGGTTTTGTCGACATTAGTATTGATCTCAAGGTTGCTGCGGCTGCTGCCCGAGCGAGCTGTAATGTGAGTAAAACAGTTGAACAAGTTAAAAACTCAAATAAAAATAATTAAAACTTAATTTAAAAAAAATTAAAAATTTAATAAAAAAAATTAAAAATTTAATAAAAAAAATTAGGAATTTAATAAAAAAAATTAAAAACTTTATTATAAAAATATTAAAAGTTTAATTAAAAAAAAAAAAATAAAAACTTAATTAAAATAAATTACATTTTTATTTTAAATTTAAAAATTACATTAAATTTCATTGCTCTTGTCATTACAAAGGGTTGCAAGCAGGAACAAAATATACGTTTGAAAGATAGTAACAAAGAGAATACGGTTTTAATTAAAGTGGAGCAGAGAGAGCAAGAAGATGCTTCATTTGAGTTTAGCATGGTTCGAAAACGTTCCATGGATGAGGTGTGTAAGCTTTGTTTTGTTGTTTGTGTGTGGGATTATAGAGTGGAAAACTTTGGATCAAATTTTAATTTACTATACCTAATAAAAAATGTACCAATTTTTATGATTTTTGCATGCTACGTTCTTCGTAAATTTTATGTGGTGTCTGTCGTTCAAATGGTTTCTAAAAATGTTTCACTGTTGCGTTGTTTTATTAACTTTCTTTTACATTTGTATGTGTTGTAATATTTGTTGTTGCCAATTAAACTCATATTTTTTTTTTACTTCTATAGCGTTTGCGTGTTTCCAAAGGCGCCGAAGACTCGGGCGTATCGAGTCGTAAAAGTGACTACTCTCTATCGCAGATCAACACGACTACCAGTTCGCTAGATAAGGTTGAGAATATGTTTATTTCGAAAAATGATACCAGCTGCTCAGACTACTCGCGCAGGTATGATACACGAAACTACTTAAAAGTGGTTAAAATGCCATGAAAATCATTGTATTTGTTTGTAATTTTAGCTACAACACGAATAATAATGAAACCAGCAGTATGCGTTCACCGTTTCGCAACCTTTCGAAAAATTTCAAACGTCCTGAATTTCTAAGGTTGTTCTCATAAACTAGAAATACATAACTTTATTAAAAAATCTCTATTTTATATATCTTACTTTTAGGGGTATGAAACGTAAGCTAAATCTTTTAAATCGTTCGGAGACCTCATCCAATTTGGAGACGGACGGTTCTAATTCGGCATCGAACTCTGGCAGCACCGGACTCACACAAGAGATCGATATGCTGGACATTGGTAGCAGTACGCCGAAAAAGCGTAAAGCAGTTAGTGGCGTACTGAAAATACGTTCACTCTCGGACGATGAAATGCCGCCGACACTCATCGAGCATGTAACAAATGTGGTCTTCTCGACACCGGTGTCATCGCAAAAGATACCACGTCGTGACGGTGGTTTGTTGGGTAAACTTAAGGCCACACGTTTCGCATTACCACTCTCGATAGAGGCAAAAAAAATGACAGAACCAATAACAGAGAAGACGCCGTATCTTAAAATGGCTGCTGATGATCCCACCATGTCACCGATTAATTTGGGCAATAATGTGCCGAAAACACCGAAATGTATAAATACACCTTTTCGCACACCGAAATCGGTGCGTCGCGGCATTGGCCGTCAGTCCTTTGAACGCATACTAGGCACACCCGACTACTTGGCGCCGGAATTATTGTTGCGGCAAGGTCACGGACCGGCTGTGGATTGGTGGGCACTCGGCGTTTGCTTCTATGAATTCTTGACAGGTTTGCCACCCTTCAATGATGAAACACCACAAAAAGTTTTCGACAACATTCTAAATAAAAGTATAACTTATAGCGTCTAATTGATAATAATATATTTTTAATTTTTATAAATAATTACTTATGCTTTTAGATATTGAATGGCCACAAGATGATGAAGCTCTATCAGCCGAAGCGATGGAAGCTGTCGATCTGATATTAACAATCGATCCCATAGAGCGCCCTGCAGCTAAAGATGTGCAGCAAATGCGCTTCTTCGAATCCATGGATTGGCAGAATATTGTAAACGTTGAACCGCCCTTTGTGCCAACGCCTGATAATCCCACCGACACAGCATATTTTGAGGCACGCAACAATTTGCAACATTTAAAGTTGTCCAATTTCACGCTAGAAGACTAAAGATGCAGGAATTAAGACTGTTTAGTGAATGAAGGTATTACTGTGTATACCAAATTTCTCTATAGAATTGGTTAGTGAATATGCGAGATATCATCACATGAGTGCTATAATCGCATTGTAAGAAATAAGTAAAGCATTACACACATCCATTTATCTAATTAATTCAATTATTTTCGTTTTATTACTATATCTATTTTTTTATCGATTTCTTTAATATTGTTTTTACTGTATGTAGCTAATTTATCTGTTAGACGTCTTGTTTTATGAAAAGCTTTTCAAACCAGTTAAATTATCTTTGTGTGTAGTAATATTTAGTTTTAATATCGATTTTAAAGCAATATTAAACGTATATGTATCGGTGTCCAATATAAACGACAAGGAAAAGTAAAGAGATATAACTGTTTTAATGATTCATTTTGAATTTGCTTAATGTAAATATGATTATTTTTCTAATAATCTCACAAATATAATAAATATCATTAAGTGTAGTTTCCTGCTTTTAATTACTCGATTATTGTTTTTGAGCATAGATATATTATATTAAGTCATACTGAACAATATGTAACATATCAAATGTGTCAATGTTGACATTAACCGCATATAAATCTCGTTAAAAGCCAGTTTACTATTTATTTATCCATACATTTATTTTAAACTATTTAATTTTTTTTTATAACATATATGTACCATTTACAAAACATTACGTAATAAAATAAAATGCACTGATTAATTGTATATATAATAAAATTGATTTAACTGCTGTTGCGGTGAAATATGTTAAAGCTGACAAATTTGTAGCAAATTATTACTTTTCGTTGCTTTAGTGACGAATATTTGCGCACCATTTGTTGATCAAATTTGAACCGGATCGTTAAAAAATGTTAAATGTTTCCCAGATTGGTACGACCTTTTTTTATTGTTAGTATAAAGTTAGAACCTCATAGGCCAATTAGTGTGTGTTTCAGGCGAGTATTCTTTATCACAAACGCAATTAAATCAGTGGCGCCAAGCCTTCATTAAAAGTCGTAAAGTCATCGAAAACTTGGCTTATGCGAGTCGTCCATTCGCCTCAGTTAATGACCAATAAGAGGTAAGGATTAAAGCAGGGAAATATCTTTAGCTGTTGGCAAAACTTCATTATACAAGAATTTTATGTATATTAAACAATGTTGCGAAGAAATTCAACATTAATTGTTCGACGAAATCGTAAAATCAATCAATCAAATTTGGTATTTTATTAAGTTATATTATAGATCTCAATTAGTTATCAAGTCATATAACTATATTTTACTTCCCGTCATCGAAAATTATATTAAAATTATCCTCAAATGAGTTATATCTAACATAAACTTAACCGAACAGGCTAAATTTAATATAATGAGTTGATGTAGACGCAATGTCAATCAGAAGATCGAAATTCATGATATTAGCGATATGAGATTAAGACCAACTCCATTCATATTTAGAGCTAAACCAATAATATAATAACGTTTGTTAGAATAACGGAAATTATTATATCTAGTATAATATAATGATCACATATTTTCGGCATTAAAGTATATTATACGTTCATCTAACGGCATACGGCCAACCGAAAGTTTGAAAATCTTTTATTAGGTATATGGGGGCTAAGGGAAATATTGACCCGATTCAACCAATTTTGACATTTGTCGGCGTGGTTGCAGTCCATTTTCGGACTGTATTATAGGAATATCAAAATAATCCTATGTACCACATTTGGTTGAAATTGGTCGAGTAGGTCCAAAGTTATGTAATTTCACCTAAATGTGGGCACGGCTACGCCTATCGTCCAATTTTGACACCTGCTCCAATAAATTCATTTACGGCTTAGTTATGTCACCTTATACGTTTTCTATTAACGGCGTTTTGTGGGCGTGGCAATGGCCCGATTACGCCCATCTACGAATCCGTCTTTTCGATTCGATCAAGGAACACATGTACAAAGTTTCATGATGATACGGGCGAACGGACGGACGGACAAACATACATATATACATATATATATGTATCCTATATCTATCTCGATTAGCTTTAGGTGGTACAAACAACAGTTAGGTGAACAACACTATTATACTCTGTGGCAACATGTTGCATGTCATCGTATTAAGGTGAAGTGATAATCCTTGATCGGCTATACATAAATCCGGATCCAATCCAGTTACTTAGGACGAGACTTTCACAACCTACTGCTCCGACTAAATGAATTAATCTTCCATAACAAAATAACGCATCATTTATCCAGCAATGTCCCAAACCGTACCATTTCTACCGCTCCAGAATGGTTTGTGAAAGCCAACGGCAGCAGTGAACGACATTTCGACATGGCGCTTAATTACAATATCCACTATCCTAGTGTTTCGGTCTTCGAATATTTCACGGCCAATACAAGCTGCTATATTCCTAATGCCATCCACTTGTGGTTAAATATTCAAATTTCGTTAAGCATATCGGATATTTTTCCAATAAATATATAATAATATATAACATATTTTTTGGAATAAAAAAAATATATATATATAAAAATCTTTCGCTTGTGCAAGCACTTCCGCACTAACTATCTATCTACAACGTGGATTATGTGCGCCGTGGGACACAGCATTGAAATGACTACCAGCAATATGGGCGCCGCATTGCAGCGAACCAATTACATTTTATTACAACAATAACAAGAATGAGCACAGAAGGCAAACAAATCGTAGGCGTTCATTCAGTCAGCCATGGTGGCACTGGTCCAGTTGGCCGATTGTCCTAATAAATGCTAATAATGGTTGTGTTTTTATTTTGAAGCGCTGCCGCCGCTTTCGACGAAAAATGTCCGTTGAGTGCACTTGCGCGCTGGAAATGGATGGAATGCTATTTGCTCTAAACTCTGTCCCTGCTTTGGTTTTACTCTTGTATGTTGTTGGTTTTCTTCTTTTGTCATTGGCGCCTTTCCACATTTTCCGTAAGTTTTATTTTCTTTTGGCACTCGAAATCGGTCTCCGATGCAAAACTCGTATTGTTTTGATAACTGAGGTCGTCTACCCATAAAAGAGACCTACAAACAAACAACATACAGATTGGTTGTAAAGTTTCTGCGCTCGAAATGAAAAAATATTGTGTTTGGTACGAAATATATTCTTGTATTCAATATAATGTCTCTTAACTTCAATACACTTATTCCATTGATCCTCCAATATCATCCCTATAATGACTCTCCGGAAGCTCTGCAAAGTACCCGTCTACGGCTACATCTTCATTCGACGAAAGGAATTGTTTCAGGTTTCTGAAGATGTAGTAGTCGCTGGGAGCCAAATCTGGTGAATACGATGGATGTTCAAGCGATTCGTACTTTAATTCGTTGAATTTTGTCATTGTTAAAACACCTTTGTGAGCAGGTGTATTGTCTTCTCTTTTTTTCATTGTTTGTGTTTTTCTCACGAACTTTATCATCCAGCTGATCCGAAGGCCTGCAATAATATTGTTGAAAGTTGAGAATTGATTTGATTGTTTTTGCTTTCTTCCGAAAATTAATCCATACAATTCTTTTTACATGCCAAAAATCTGATGCCATAATCTTCTTTGTTGATCATTGTGACTTTACCTGCTTTGGAGTTGAACAACCAGCAGAACAACCAGTCCATTGCAAATGTTCTTGTTGCAATTTAGAATCATGGTAGTAGATCCAAGTCCAATCCATAGTTATAAAACGACGTAAGAAATCGGTTTTAATCTGCTTAAAAATTATGCTGAGAAATTTGTTTTCGATCCAGTTTTTGTTGAATTGTTAACGTGTGCGGCACTAACTTTCCAAACAGCTTTTTCATATGTAATTCTCATCATCATTTAAATATGAAGTACTAGTTCGTCTGAGATGCCTATGGCGATAGCAATTTCATGCTTAGTCAAACTGCATTAACAATGTTATAAACTTGCTCAATGATTTCTGGTGCGGTTGCGTTTTTTGGTCGTCCTTCGCGTGGATCATCTTCAAGCCTAGTACGACCACGTTTAAATTCACCTGCCCAAAATTCAACGGTGCTCTTTATACACATCTAATAATTGTTCATTAATTTTCTTTGCTTTTAAACCTTTCAAAACATAGAATCTAATCACTACGTGATATTACATTTTTTTCCATATTAAAAAAATACTCTGACAGAATCGCGTGTAACTTTGCATGTGTTCTCTCGACAGATGTACCAAATTGAGAAAAAAAATTGGAGCGAGTAGTGCTATTTGATGGCGAGAGCAGAAACTTTACAACCAACCTGTACGTACGTATATATACTTGTAGAGTATTTCAGTAAATATCCGTATGTGCCCATATGCATTTTTACTAAATACTTAATATTTATTCCTTCTGTATTGCGCATAGCTTTTACCAAAGAAATTAAAGCTCGAGGGTTTCTGAGTACCACGTGTGCAACGTTAAGTAGACATTAAGTTTTACTACAAGGATCATTAGTTACGCGACATTAGCAGAGGCTAAGTGAGGGCAATATGTGTTCCAAAGTAAACTGAACTTTAGAATTGAAATCTGTTATTATAATTTTCTTCTACATTGTTTGGATATTACAGTTCGAAAAAGTGTCAGTTTAAGGTCCTTTATTGTTCGGTTATAGAATATCATTATCAAATCATTAAAATAGTTTTTTGGGAGGTAGATCCAGGTCTGTACCGACTTCAGTCATATTCAGCGTTGAACCACATTGTGGCAAAAACAAAAAACATGTCGACTTAATTTATTTGAAATATCTCACGCATGATCAATATATAAATATATTATAAAATACTATAAAGTCTATCGGAAGGTCGAATATAACTATATTGAATATATAGAACGATTTGATCTATTAGCACCTCAATTAGAAGTTATTTTTGATTTATTTGATTTTATTCATACTCACGGTGTAAGAAATAATTCAAAGCAATCTTATATTGTTGCTTAATAAAAGTTTAATAATTTGTACACATAAGAGCGGTACATCAGTATTTTACCAAAAACTTTACCAGTTATGGTCCTCCCCAAGACCGATAAGTGTTATAGCTTAAACCATTTTTAGAAGGATAAACTCTACTTGGGTTCCCGGTCACAAGAAAAGCAGACGACGGCTAAGTTCGGCGACTATCTAGACGAATCCGAGGCAGAGATAATGCTGTGCCCGCCAGGAACTATCAAGAAGGAGATCAATACTCAATTTGAACAAATATGTAGTTCAGAACAGAGGGAAATCTGTAATCAAATGCAAGATAGCGAAGCACATATGACTAAAATACGACAAGACGAGAACTAAGTACTTATTAAATAGGTTCAGGAAAAGTATATATAAATTTACAGCTATCATAATGTGGCATTGGCCATCAGGAGAACATGCGTTCAAAATCGGAATACCGCAGCTGCAAACTCGAAGGAAATAAGTAAGCAACATTTGAAAGTCCTTCATTGTATTGTATATCAAAATGGTGCGTCTAGCGCTAATTGAGACAACAGAAAAATATTAAAACAGCTTGCTATGAAAGCTCATTGAGACGTTCTTTTATTCACTGCTAGGCTTGTTTTCTTAGGGAAATTAATCGAAAATAACAATTTTTACCTCCTAAAAGCATAACACAATTGGTCAATACTTGGATCATGAACTGGCATTCATGGATTCCAGGACCAACAGCGACATCGAATGAAATTTTTTCTTTCAGGAGATCTTAACTATCTATCAACAAATATTTCAAATAGTATAGCCTAGGCTACGCTGGAACGCATACACTATATCCATCTAGGAAAGTTGCTGACGATAATATGTATATGAAAATAGGCGTTTTGGGAATGCTAATAAATATGGCTTTAAAGTTTGCGGACTAGGCTAAAATCTATTAAGTGATTTAAGCGGCAATTCCGGATATTTTATTTCTAACTATTTCAAGTTATAGATTTTACTAGATGAGTAATTGAGCCATTCCGAAATTAATTCTTTGTATTTGTTTTATTGTATACTATTAAGACATTTGGAAATATCCTTTAAGAGGTAAGGTCGTGTTTTTGAGCTACCGTTCGACCTAACCTAAGAAAGTATTAGTTTGCAGGACAACGATGATCCAGAATAATTTCAGCTAAGTCTCAAACGTCGAAAATGGCTTTTCAGTAAAATTGAAAACTCTAAGTGAATTTCGGTTAGGTAGGCGTTATATGTCCCTGTGCCACTAATGATGAAAATCCATTACAAGTTCTCGCACATACGCCCCTGCAGTGACAATGGCAATTATTCAATGCAGCCTAAGCGTGCGTCAACGCATGTTGAACCAAGCGTACTCGGTGTACACGCATAACGAGTTGCCTCCTCCGTGTACGCACGTACACATATACGGCAGTATATAAGGGCGTTTATACCTCGTTTGGCTTTCACTTGAACTTTATCCGCAGCAGAACGCTGACAGCGATTGTAACACAGCTGTTGTTCTCATGCTGCGCCGAGCGACAAACCGTGTGTTGCGTGAAAATCACTGAACCGTGAAAGTAATACCGTTGCTGCAGTGACAATTCCCTACCCCGGCGGACAAACAATTGCAACATACCCGCTACACGGACGCAGTAAATCAGCAGCATTAGCAAGCCAATAGGCAGCTGAAATAAGTGGAAAGCAGGCGCACTGTAGAAGAGGAGCACATCAGGAATCATAACTGTATGTGTGTGCATACCTTGTTTATGCAAATACGATTCAGCAGTGTAGAAGTGTGAAATGAAGTCAACATCCAGTGCCATTTGGTGGATAAAGAGTCCAAAGAAAACATCGAAATGGGCTATAAAAAAGCGAAAGCAATCAGTTGGTGCCACATTCAGCAACGACATGACGGATCTATTTCGCAACATATCGATGCATGCGTATGGAAAATTGGTGGACAACGCATTGAATGTGTGGGAAAAGTAAGTATACTCATACCTATACACATAGATTACCGTTCAAGACTCGCAAATTAATGCTGCATTCATTGGGAAATACGAATGTATGCAATGATACTCATACGCAGCGTTGAAAGTTTACTTTTTAAGATCTCAATTCTTAAACGATTTACATGCCATTTTATATGCGCAAAGCGACCTGTTGATGTAGAAGTTAAATTTTAGTGAAATAAGTTTGTCATGTGAGCATACTTTTAACTGGTCCCTCTGGTAAAACTCACTTTAGCCGATCTGATATTAACTGTTTTCTTGATAGATCAGTTTAGAAGCTTAGCTCAAGCAGAACTAGACGTGAATTTATATCCGGAAGGTTATAGTGTGGTAAAGTTGAGGTTTAAGTATTTTTAAAGCAAAAATGACATTGTAACTAGGATCCAGATGTCAATGTCAGCCTAATCTTGTTAACATGATCAAAGCTGAATCTCCATACAATAATATTTACTAGGGTCGCCAGTTGTGCCAGTAGTATTAAAATTTTATTATAATATATACACAATATGAGCTTAATTATTATCAACTTCAATTAAATTTGAATTTGTAGTATTAATTACATTTCGTGTTACATTCAATTGCATAATTTCTGTATTTATTTGTCTCTGTACTTTCTCTGTAAGCGATTTACGGTAAAGCATGATTAAATAGATGAATGTGTGCGCATCGACGACACTAAACTTCCAAAATAAATTTTTATTAACTGAATGAATGACTAATTAGCAGTCATAATCGCCTACCGAATAAACAAATTATGTTCACAATTTTATTTACAAATAGAAAGTAAAAAAATAAATAAACTCACCAATAATAAAGAACGTAATTAGAGTTGAAGTGCTGTTGATGTCGATTTAACCAGCTAAAAAATTTAATAAATATTTCTAACTCACCAAAATAAAATGAACGTTGTCAATTCAATTTTCGTTAAACCGCATGCAAAGAAAACGGGAAAAAATTCAAACACTTCCTATTACGTAAAAAAAGTTCAAAAAAGTAACTATTATACAATGCATTTGAGATTATTTTAAAAATGTCTAACTCACCAAAATAAAATGAATGATATCAAAGATTATTTCCACTTCAATGTGTTTTTTTTTCAACCAACCAACAATAATTGAAATTTAATGTGCGTTAAAAATGTAATTGTAACAGAATTCAGTGTTGAAACACGCAAAGTTCGAACACAATTGAAAGTGGAAAAACATCGCAACCACAAATCGGCCGTAAACGATACACAATTATCCGATAAATGTATTTGCAATTTATACAGAACAGCGACGAAATGTACTTTTGTATACGACTGTGTTAAGCGTTAAGGCCAATAAAAACGTGCCACCGCGCTTGTAGTAGTTGTAGTCGTTACGTTGTGAACTTTTGCACGTCTTCTCCTTTCCAACGGTATACATTTTATCGTTATATTATATGTTAACGACAACACATTCAAAGAGGGAACTTTTTTGTTAGCGTAATTATATGTAGATACCATTAACATTGTAATTGTGTTTGCCACGAAGGTTGTAACACTCAGAAGGATACGTCGCCAGCGTGACAAGCGTATGGACGAAGAATTAGTCCCTCAGTTTTTGAGACATCGATCAGAAATTTCGCAAACGTCCTTTTCTCCCCAAGAAACTGCTTATTTGTCAGAATGTTTTAATTGAAAAGGTATTTTTACGAAATATGAAATGGATTATTGTCCAAAGCAACGCTCTGGTTGAATTTTTCAGACTGAACCACTATAGCAACAAGGCGTTCCGATAAGTACTTATCATAATTCTCAACGTTTTTTTTTTTAACTCGATACACTCGACATAGCGATTCTCCGATTTCTTTAATCTGAGTGAGTATTCTGGAAGTCTACAAAGAAGGTTTGCATGGCGGACTCAAAACTTTTTTCCGGCGATTAATTTTTTTCAAGTTTTCAACAAAAAGAATTCGCAAGAACCCTAAATCAAGAGAATGCAGAATATGCGGTAAGAGTTCATAGTATAATTCCATCAATTTGGCTGTGGCCACGGCGCAGGTTTGAGCTAAGACGATGTCATGGTGGAAGAACACCACCACTCCCAATGGGTCTGGTGTTTCCGCAGTTTGGTGACAAATTGGCCCCATAATAGGATATAGTAGAGCATTATCTTGGTAGTCGATGTAGATCTTACATAGTGAACCCGTAAAACGTAGGCCATCACCTTTCCGACCTATAGGGTTTTTGCCCTCTTCGGAGTAGGTTCGCGTGAGGTCCCCTATCCCTTGGTTTCAGATGTACATATATCATCAAACGAAGCAGAAACGCCTTCAGTTGCGCTTAAACTGTGGCAATCGCTGCTTTCAGATGTAATCGCTCATACAAAGTTACTACAGGGCTTAAACTTACTGGTATATTTTTATATATTGTACAATACTTGTTTATATACGAATACAAGAATACATAAATGCATTTGTACTTTTATATCACTTTGTTCATTTACCGTTGTGTCTATATACATATGTCTAAGGTATATATCTCATATTTGCAGATTAATATGGTTGGCTGTACATATAACAACAATGTTTACGCTATTTACGATTCTGTCACTGATTTGGGAACAATTTGTCGCTCAGTACATTGTCATCAACCTATCCAATCCACTGTATCCTATTGAATCCGTGGCATTTCCATCCATTTCCATCTGCTCGAACAATAGAATTTCAAGGCAGGCGGCATTGGCGCATGCAAAGGAGCTGTGAGTTTGAGATATCACTTATTATTGGTATTAAATGCACATGCACTCAGGCACATCGCAATACACGTAGGCATGTACGCACACATTGAAAAGCATTATCCAGTAATTACTAGTAAGCGTCCTTGTGTCGCCATGAAATTATCAGCCGTATCAGTTCTATGACGATGAGATTGTAATTCATGGCTTGCTTAAGAACCAGCTAGGTGACATTCGCCATGGTTATTATCTAAAGATGGTACGAAATGGAGCACTTTAGGAATCGGTTGTGATCTTCTTTTTATGACATCCAAATCATTCCTCTTTAGGCAATACGCGTGATTAAGATGCGGTTTGAAATTCATGTATACAAGGGTCAATTAACTTAACAACCGAAGGTCTTGGTCTTCAAGAAGAAACTTCCGTTTTACTTTTGCTGCAGAGGGCCAGAAAAATCATCTAAATGAGAAATACCAAGTTAGATACAGTGTACAAGTACTTATAGTTAGTCGTCTCTAAATTTTAGATATAGGCTCCGGTTTACCACGGAAACAGCATGACATTGGATCTTGTTACATTACTCGGGCTTCGAACTCTATAATCTGTACTGTCTTTCAGGGCGAATTTTTGGATTTAACTGAAATTCTCAAGTTAGTTTATGTTTTAGTCGGCCGGTAACTTTCTTTTTGAGAGCAAAGTCGCAATTAGATCGAACCGTTGCATTAAAATGTCAATACACTCCTCAGTTCTTGAAACACTACCAAATGAAGATGTATCATAAAAATTTATTTGCGGAAGGTTGTTGCAGATAAAAAATATTTTACTTTTAAAAAGCGGGGAACTGAGTAAGATTGTAAGGGTTATCACAGGAAATTTACTCTTTAAGCATTATTTTCTGAAACTAGGTAAGGTAGTATCGAATGTAAATAAAGTATGAGGATGACAAATTGTCAAAGCATTATTTTTGCCTTCAGCCGATTAATACTTTTTAGAGTTCCCAATATTGCAATCTAAATGATTTAAAGGTTTGAAATACTCAAGAAGGTTATAAAATCCAGCGAGTAGTTGAACGGTGTTCAATTGGCCCATGGTGGGCACAATAGCCTATTGATAGTATATAAGGCCGCTTAAGGTCAGGTGTTTTTGCGATGCGCTTTTAATCAATCAACATTTGTTCAGTTTAGAGGAGAATAAAAGGTTGTGAAGCGCACGGAAAAGTTGACATCTTATTAGCCGGGTGTGATGAACAATGAAGTGATAAAGCGCACCCATATAATTTCAGAGGCACAGGAGTTAATACCATGCAACTGGGATTTACAATCTAACAATGCCTTACTACACCTAAATGTGACTATTGTTTATTGTCTTTGTTATTTATGTTACACTTGGTGTCAAGGCGTTTGCTTGCGCTTTTCAATTCCATCCATTAAGTGCATGTTTTGTGGTTACAGAGATATATAAGTATATAAAGGGTTTTCCAATAGGGATGATATGACTGTCATGAACTGTAATTTTTTTTCATTGTATTCAGTAATATTTACAATTTTAGCATGGAAATATATACCCACGAACAACGTTTACAAATTATTCCATTTTATAATCGTCCACCAGTGGTCGCTATTCGTCGAATTGTTGAAAATTTCGAGCGTACATTTTCTTTACAACATTATCAAGTGCATATAAGACAAAGAACCGCTCGAAGTACCGCAATTAGTCGATTAAAAGACGTTCTCCAGATTTGGGACTGTAGAAACCACAACCTGGCGGATTTCGAGAAGGATTTGGGCTTGCATCTATATACAATTGTTCTCACTCAAGAACTGAAGCCATTGGACCACCGTAAACGTCTTGAATGAACTTGAAAACGATAACGATTTTTTTAAGAAAGCCATCTTCTCCGATGAAGTTCTTTCTCATCTGAGTGGTGGTAAATAAACAAAATTGTCGATTCTCGTGTGAAGAAAATTCACAAATTATTCATAATAACCATTAAATACACCTAAATTAACAGTTTGGTGTGGTTTTTGGTCTGGTGGAATTATCGGTCCGTACTTCTTTTGAAATGAAGCTGGTGACACCGTTACTGTCAATGAAGAGCCAGATAGATCGATGCTAACCAACTTTTTATTACCGGAATTAGGGGAAGTTGATCTTGACAATATCTGGTTCCAATAAGGCGGGGCTACGTGCCACACAGCACGTGCAACAGCCTAATTATTGCGAGAAAAGTTTGGAGAGAATTATCATTAATCGATAATTTCAAGAAAATGTGACATTGAATGGCATCCAAGTAGTTTTGATTTAACACTATTAGACTACTTCTTGTGGGGTTATTTGAAGTCATTGGTCTTTAGCAATAAACCAGACTCTCTTCAAGGCTTAGAAGCCAATATTGAACGTGCTATTCATGACATACGACTTGATTTAGTGGAAAAAGTACCCGAAAATTGGGTTATCGAATTCGTTCCTGCAAAAAAAAGTCGTGGAGGCCATTTGAATGATGTTATATTTAGAATTTAATTATATCGATTGTACTTTACATTACATAAAAAACATTTGAATTTCAATAATAATTAGTGTGGTTTTTTGAAAAAAAAATCATATCACTCTATGGATGGATCTATTTATGTATTATTACAGCAGCGCAAAGGATCTTAATGGTCGAGACGTTGATTATTTCATGGAGCGTTTAAAGTTCTTTATTAATTTGTATCAGAGAAATGATTTGGAGGTCAATGGTGAAGCTTACTCTAATTTTCAAGCGATGTTGGATACATACGATATATATGAAAATGAGACCTTCTATAATACACGAAGGGTTGCAGAAATGGTAAGAATGTAGAATAGTAAAGCTCTTAACTAATAATTTTATTTAATCTTCTATTGTAATTTCAGCTCTCGCCCTCTTGTGAGAAACTTATACGTAATTGCAAACTATCAGGTGTCGAAGTCGAATGCTTCAGCCCTAACACATTTCAGAAAAGTTTGACGACTTATGGATTTTGCTGTACCTTTAATCGAGGAAATTCGTGAGTGAAATTTCATTACAGCCTTAAAACGCTCCTCGGAATATTTAAAAGAAGTGTTTCACTACAATTTATTTCCAGAATAATCAATTTGTACTAATATATCAAAAATTGTTATCGACATCTCAGTGTTTCATGTTCTGTAATGAAGATAACAGCGTTATGTTTCCGAATAAAGTAGTTTGACAATTGCTCGCGAACTACTTTACGATATCCGCTCCAAGCGTATGTGGACTTTACTTCTTATTGTTCCGACTTGATAATACAGTTCGTCCCCTCTGAGTTATTAAGAAACTCTGGCTAATTGGCTCTGGTTAACATATTTGTGGAGTTCCTTGTAGTAAGAGTTTGATTCAAGGTTTCCATAGGATAACTCCATTTCCGCTACCCAATAAGTCCACGTACACCCTACCACTCATTCTTAATTTGTGGGTATTGATTATCGACGATCTCTTAAGATGCCTTAGAAATTTACTATAATTAAATTGTTTTAGGTTCTAAAATTATATCATTTGCTTTCTGATTATTACTGCCATTGTAGGTCAACGATTTTCAATACCAATCAGGCTTATATTGGAATGACCGTGTTATAAGATTTTTATTGAAATAATTCTCTTTTCACTTTTTAACAGTTACAGCGATCGTAAAATCCGTGATCAATTCGTTAATTCGGAGCTTGGTTTGACGGTCGTTTTGAATACCAGTCATACAGATGACTTTATGTCCATATTGAATATAGATGGTTACATTGTCATCGTCCATGATTCCGATATCTTTGCCGACACAACATCAGGTGAGGCACACGAGCTATTTATAGCAGATGGCGAAGAGTCCTTTATGGCATTGCGTGCTCTTTTGGTTTATACAGAACCCAGTTTGAGTTCATTTAGGCCACATACAGTAAGTGGGACGCCCCTTACTTGAGCGATATTTATAAATTTCATCCAATATTTTTACTTGCAGCGTAAATGTTATTTCGAAAATGAATTTTCAGAGTATGCAGCGGGTACTCAATGGAATTACAGTTTTTCAAATTGCATAACACGTTGCCGAATACGTAGTATGGTGGCGCTGTGTCGTTGTATACCCTTTTATATGGATACCAGATTGTTACCGGATACAGATGGCGTTATTTACTGCACCCTGCAGCATGTGCCGTGCCTGCTGAGCTATAACTGTGAGTTTGTTCAGAGCTCTCTGTGAGTCTAAGCGAAACTTTCGAATATATTGTTATTTTGACAGTCAAATGGACTAATGTGCTTACACAACGCGAGCTCTTACCTGGTTTAGAGCGTGCTTACGAAGAAGCGCTGTACTGCCCGGAATGCCTGCCAGCCTGCAACGATGTGCAATATGGTGTGTCGTTCATGGCATTGCCTATAGATCGGTTCTTAGCTAGCAGTACGAAAGCGTAAGTTCAACTGAAGTACAGTTATATGGAAGGTGGACTTGGTTAAAAAACTGGTCACAGTTCCGAACCGAAATGATTGTTCGTTCGCTCTCCATATGATAAATGTTATAAGCTAGAACTTTTTTAGCGAAAATTTCTATTTTAGAGAATTGGATAAGATCGGCTTGGATTTGGAGGAGATGTCTGTGTTACGTATCCACTTTGATGAGCCATATGCAAAGTATTATAAGCGAGTGGTGGGTAATACCTGGTATGAAGCATTGTGTACGTATATGTTTAAATACACTACGAGTATATCGTTTATAAAGCTTATTAGTTCTGAAAAATATTTTCTTTTGCGTTTCTAGGCACAGTTGGTAATGTAACCTCAATATTTCTGGGCTTCTCTATTGTTGCAACCTTTGAGATTGGATTCTTTACATCGAAATACGTAATACTTGCCATAAAATCAGCCTTAAGACAAGATAAACAAGAGCAAAAAAAAGGCAAAAATAAAGATGATATGCAACTCTATATATGTCCTTAAATAAATTAAAATTCTTTGTTAATGAATGTAATTAATTTGTTGTTTTAGATATTACTTCATTAAAGCTTTATTGCCTGTGTCACAATTTTAAAAGCGTTTCCTCTTTACTAGAGTTTCAATGCTCCACCTTAGAAATGGTTAGAAACTTGACTTACTTTTAAAGATTTAGTCTAACTTCTTTAAATCTTCTTCTCCTGAATTAACCTTAATTTCTATGAGCCGAAAATGAAAAAGTTTTGTTCTCTTCTTTGCCATAAGGAAAAACCGTGAACGTTTCTAGCTATATCGATATTCAAACTCAGCTATATCTAAACTCTTGGTTTTATATTGGCTAGGTTCTCATTGACTTAGCTGAACTTGCCTATTTATAATTTCCTAAATATTCGGCTGGTCAACCTATTTGTTAAAGATTGGATTAAAGGAATCATTAAATGAGGAGAAACTCACCTCCATCTGACATTACTAAGGACCAGTAGATCTTTATATATAGCGTGACAGCCGGCCAGTATAACCTAACCTAGTGTAGAGTATTGGCTTAACACATTGGCCTGATATCCAATAACGCACAGGTATTTTGATAATGGATAGTTTTACCATGTTAATAAAATAATTTCATGTGAACCCAAAAATACTGCTTAAAACCTCGCCGGTCGATTGTTGTAGTTTTAGACGTTTCGGAAAAATCGTTCGACTTTCCCCGGGCAACAAAATTCAAAGCACTGCCGATTCCACTAAAGTCTGGAATAATGCAATGACATAATTGTCTCGATGATTAATATTGATTGAAGAATATAGTAGCATTATTCTACATTTTGTTGACCAAATCAAGCATTAAATTACTTACAAGTTTCTTCCTATTCATTTTGATTACTGAAATAATGAAACTAAGTAAGTATAAAATATTGTTTGCCCACTCTATCGAAATAATCAATTAGTGCAAGCAATTACTGCCAATTTACGGTTGGCTTGTGGAAGGATATGCATGTTTATGTTCAATAAGATTGAGCATTTTATAAATCCTTACAACTCTCTCATCTTCAATGACTAACAATAGAGTCTAGTTGTAAGCCTAACTGTTCTACTAAACGCTCCACTAATAACCCATAATGCTGCGTAATTAGTTCAATATGCGTACGAACATGTCAACACATACATACATCGGCACTTTTCTTTGGCGCTTCTGACACCAAAGCAATTAACCGTCGCTAATTTGCCAGCGAAAACGACTCTAATTTACAGGTACAAGGCAACCGAAAATCTACAAGTGCCGCTAACAAACCCAACACCCAGTGATTACCGCCGCACTACCCCGTTTCATTGGTGTAAACCCGTGGCATTTGCTATTAGAGCTACAATTAGTGCGACTGTCGGTCGGTTGTCAAACACCGTATAGCGATTGCATCTCTTTTATCTGGCACGACTAATATCCAAACGTTAATGGCAACGCTATTGCCGCACAAAAAGCGCCACGCACCTCAACAAGCGCCAAATAAAACGAATCCACCATATATGATGGGGTGTGCACCTTGGTGGGTGCTGACAGTGCCAGCTCCACGACGCGATGGCAAGCGGAAAATCTCATTTGCCGAGGCATTGAAGGACTTCCTGCGGAATGTATCATTTCATTGTTATGGAAAATTAGTGGAGCCTCATCGGCGTTTCCACGAACGGTGAGTAGGCGCACACAATCGCGTACTTGGCAATATCATCTGCCATCAGTGTTTGTCGGAGCTGTTGGAGCGAGAATTTAATCATCAGCCTTTTGTTGTTGCTCTTCATTTACTTGCAGTTTCTTTTGGATTATATTCCATGTCACAATGATGAGCGTACTGATTGTCTTTCTATAGAGTACGTCCATCTTCGAGGGGCAATTTTTAAGCACAACCATGTTTGATCTATTATTATCCCATACATAAAGTGCCCTTTCCCACAATATCGATATGCACACAGAATCGCATGTCGAATATTTCCGTTACCAGATATGCGGAAAAACTGTAAGCGCCTGCCCTCATAAATCATACTTGATTTTTAAAGAACTTAAGAAATATATATTTGAAATTGTATTTGTTTAGCCAGCAAAAAGATCCTTACAAACGAGGAGATAATTATTTTTAAAACGAAAAGGACAATAACTATGAAGATTTCTTAGAATTTCAAAACTTTTTGGATATTTACGACACCACGGATAGTGAGGTATTTTATAATACCAGAGATCGCATGAAGGAGGTAAGCATCAATTTCAAATAGTTCCAATTGATATAACTCGTTTTCACTTCACTCGAATTCCTTTAGCAAATTTGAACTTTTTTGATCTGTATGTTCGCAAACTGCACTATACCTACTTAAGTGTTCACATTTTAAATAAAAAACTAATTTTCGAACATCACTTCTTTTCTTTCATTAGTTAGCACCAAGTTGCAAGGATATTTTAAGCCGTTGCCGTTTAGCCGGAGAAGACTTTGATTGTCTAAGGAAATTTACAGAACCTTTAACAGCAAATGGATTTTGTTACACCTTTAATGAAGATGGCCTGTAAGCCAATTAGAAAAATATTGATGTATGAGCTATAGTTTTGTTCACATAACGGTTGTTTGCATCACCTAAAACTAATCGAGTTAGATATAGGGTTATAGATATATAAATGATCAGCATGAAGAGACGAGTTGAAATCGGGGAGACTGTCTGTCCGTCTGTATGTCCGTCTGTCCGTCCGTGCAAGCTCTAACTTGAGTAAAAATTGAGATATCTTTATAAAACTTGGTACACATGTTTCTTGGTACCGTAAGACGGTTGGTATTGCAGATACTGCTACCACGCCCACAAAACGCCTTTAATCAAAAACAAATAAATTGCCTTAACTAACTCCACAATTAAATACAAGACTGTTATTTGGTATACAAGATCATATTAGGGAGAAACATCCGCAGTTAAATTTTTTTTTAAGTGGGCGTGGTACCGCCCCTAATAGGTTTAATGTGCATATCTCCAAAATTCAAACAAATTATTTTAGCACCTCTATCGACAGTGTGAAAATAGGTGAAATCGGGTGCCAATCCTGCCCCTTCGTCAAACACGCCAGAGACATTAAATTGTATCTCTGGGATGTTATGAGATAACTTTATAGGAACCGCGTGGCACGCCCACTTTTAGGTGAAAACCCATATCTTTGTATCTGCTTAACCGATTACAAAAAAATTCGGTACATAACATTCTTCTCATATTTCTATGTTATAGCGCGAAAATAGGCGAAATGGGATTACAAACACGCCTATTTCCCATATAACACCATTTAAATTCTATCTGATACTTTCACTTTCCAATATGCAAAGCAAGTAACAATGTTTGTATCGGGGTAAAACTTTGTGTGAATAATGTGTTTAAAGTATGCCACCACGTAATTAAAAATTGTCTAAATTGAACCAAAACTGTTCAAGCCCCTACGTACTGAATATGTGGACCCCAGTGTCTATAGTTGACTTTTTACCGAAAATATCGGTCAATGTGTAAGATATACAATTAAAATTCATAAAATAAAATAAATATTGTAAATGAAACTCTGGATACTAGTATGTCTTTGTGTCAAAAATTGGTTGAATCGGATCAATACTTCCTTTAATATAAAATTTTGCCAACACCTGAAGTAATTTCACGAGCTTTGATCCTTGCAAGTTGCGAGAGTATAAAATGTTCAGTTACACCCGAACGTAGAACTTCCTTACATGTTTCTACATCTTTTTTCGTAAACATTTCATGGCTATCCATGTAGATTAATGACGAATAAAGAGGCTGTATATATAGAGTTTTAAAAATGTTTCTTTTATTCTTTGCAGATATTCGAAGCCGCGGCCTCAAAGTTGGAGTTTTTACAAACAGTTAAATGGCCTCGTACTATTACTAAACTCTTCAAGTAGTGATGAATATTTTATGGCATCACTATCGATATACATTCCTATGGGCATTGTGCAGACATCGCTAGTGGTTCGGTAAAGGAACACTTCGTGGAATGTGGTATGGATACATATTTGTCAATTAAGCCGGGTGTCATTGAAACTGTCAACGAAGCTCGCATACTGTCGCCGTCAGTGGTAAGTGCCACAGTAAAAAGGATCAATCTAATTCCATAGACACATTGCATTAATTGCTGAAAAAGTTTAACTAAAACGTTTTTAAACTTCTTCCTCGCACACTTTCATAAGCGCAAATGCTATTTTGACGACGAGCAAGCCCGCATATTTGGTAAACCATGCAGTTTCAATAGATGTATAACACGTTGTCGCATGTATAGCATACTGGTATTATGCAATTGTTTGCTTTTCATACATCCCAATGGGTTATTAGATGTGTCTACGGATTTTGTATATTGTACGTTGAGGCACAAAGCCTGCTTAGACCGTTATTATTGTAAGTTTAAGAGAGAGAGATAGCGAGAGAGAGCATGGCTTAACTTTATATGTTTCAATATATTTTCACAGGCAAATGGTCTAATGTTATTACTGAACGCGAATACATTCCTGGACTCGAACGTCAAATGGAGGATTCTCTATACTGCCCGCAATGCTTGCCGCTATGCAACTCGGTGCGCTACGATGTTAACGCCAATGCACTGCCTTTGACTTTTTACAATATGCACACTTTCCCGTAAGTAAACAATATTTCAGAAATCTGTATATGTATCTATATCTCTATTTCTATCTCTATCTCTATTTCTATCTCTACTTCTATCTCTATCTCTACCTCTATCTTTATCTCTATCTCTATCTCTATCTCTATCTCTATCTCTATCTCTATCTCTATCTCTATCTAGCACTAATAGCTCCAAATTTTTTTTTCTCATTTTGGTACATCTGTCGAGAGAACACATTAAAAGTTACAAGTCATTCTGTCAATTAATTCTTGTTTTCAAGTCTTTTGAAGTTGACGTGTCAGAGTATTTTTTTTATATGGAAAAAATTGAATCTCGCGCAGTGATTAGATTCTTTATTTTGAAAGGTTTTAAAGGAATTTATGAACAATTGTTAGAAGAGTATAAGGAGTCCTCACCTTCAAAACATTTCATTGAATTTTGGGCTGGTGAATTTAAACGTGGTCGTACTAGGTTTGAAGACGATCCAAGCGTATGACGACCAAAAACCATTACCATGCCAGAAATCATTGAGCAAGTTCATAATATTGTTAAAGAAGATCCAAGTTTGACTAAGCGTGAAATTGCTGATGCCACATCGTTTTATAACTATGGATGAGACTTAGATCTACCACCATGATCCTAAATTGAAACAAGAATGTTTACAATGGACTGAAGCTCGTTGTTCAGCTCCAAAGCAGGTAAAGTCACAATGATCAACAAAGAAGATGAAAAAGGAATTTTGTTGATTGGTTATCTGCCGAGAAGTAAAACCGTCAACTCTAAATATTATTGCAGCCTTTTGGATCACTGCACCTGCTCACAAAGGTGTTTTAACAATTACAAAATTCAACGAATTAAAGTACTAATTGCTTGAGCTTCTACCGTATTCACCAGATTTGGCTCGCGGCGACTACTACCTCTTCAGAAACCTGAAACAATTCTTTTATGGAAAGCGTTTTTTGTCGAATGAAGATGTTATTACAGCCGTAGACGGGTATTTTGCAGAGCTTCCGGAAAGTCATTATAGGGATGATATTGGAGGATCAATGGAATAAGTGTATTGAAGTTAAGGGACATTATATTGAATACAAGAATATATTTCGTACCAAAAACAGTATTTTTTTATTTCGGGCGCAGAAACTTCTTATTAGTTATATCTATCTATATATATGAACTTTTCCAAAATGGTCAGCAAATGACATCACAGAAATATGCTTTCAATTTATGAAGGATTTCAACTAAGTTCCTAAGAAAATTTGAGAAAAATGGAAACAAAAAAATTTTAAATATTAAAATTTGTCGACTTTTCTTCCGTGTAAACATAATTTCATCCTCAAGGTTAGGTAGAAGGAAAGAAAATAACTCGATTTAACCATTTTGAATATACAGTACATCATAAACACGACTAACTATTCATATATGTAGTTATATATAGAGTACATATATACTTCGTTCGATTGCAGAGAAATAGCAGAGGAAAATATATCGAGCCTTGCGTTGACCCATATATATTTCGGAATCATACATACTCAAATTTTTAGACGTGTACTCAAAGACACGTGGTTTGAAGTACTGAGTAAGTCTGCGTATTAGCTCAAAATCAATAGTTATTTTAAATCACTTTTTTTTTTTACCAATCTTCTCTGCAGGTTTTATTGGCAACATTGTGAGCATTATGACGGGCTTCTCATTAGTTGGTATTTGTGAGGTGCTATATTTCATTTATCGTCAATTGTTTTTGGTTTTCAAAAGTGAAATGGCATTTGATCGCAAGGCTAAAAAGCAGAAAGCAAAAATAGGTTTGATAATTCTGCCATGAGAAATGGTATTTATCGGAATTTTATTTATTTGTATTACCGTTAAAATATTTTGTCTAAGTAAATTGTTTATGGAAGTTGTAATAGATACAATTTTAATTAAATTGACAGAGACAACTTATTTGCAAGTCATGTAAAAGTTTGCTCCATGAGTGAATTGAAAAATTTAGTACTTAAGAAGTCTTAGCTCTATTAGTTGCGGCAAAACTACTACCTCCAGATATGTTAACTCCAAATAGCTTCACGTATTTCAACTACCATCACGATATTTTCGAAACCAGCATTCCAAATAATGCATTAAAAAAAATTAATAATTTTTTTTGTATTTTGTAATTCTGAAAATCTTAGTAAATAAAAATGTTTGAGTTAAAAAATTCACAACCCTTTCGGAACCCACGACGTGCAATCCGCGGTCCAAATATTTAGTTAGTTGAATTCAGGGCCAGTTTTAGAGCAATGTCTTTTTTCGAGAGACTGAAAGTTACAATTTTTTTAAGATAGGAAGGCATAAGAATAGAAAAAAGTGTGCCTTTGTTTTAAAACAACACAAACTTTTCAGTTTACTTGGTCTATAAACTATATCAAGTTTATAAGGGTGTGATGAGCAAAGTATTAACAACTGCTAGGTGAAATTTATTTCAGCGTAATTTGCCAAGAAAAAATGTTCTCAGGACTCCCGCTCTCTTAGCATAGTTTGACTACAATCAGTTTGGTTGACAATCACCACCATTTCACATATACCGATATCCTAGTAGCCGTTTGTAGTAAAATTAAAGTGTAAAGCCAAATTTATCGTATGGCATTGGATACATTTCTTGGCTAGTTCCCTCGGCTAGTTATGCTTTTAAATACACTCATGTCATAATATGGGATCATTAAGAGGACTTTTGCTAACAACTCGAATATAACAAATGTGAATTTCGAATAAAAAACCTTCAAAAACCGGGTATAAATATCTCTCCTTTTTGTTGGAAAAATACTAACAACTAAATAATACATATTGATCTATGATCTTAAATTTAATCGGTCGGTTTGTATGACAGCTGTATTCTATAGTCCTCGATCTGAGCAATATGTTCCAAGATTATAGCTTTGCCTTGGATAATAATCCATGTCAAATTTCGTGAATATATCTTCTCAAATAGAAGGGTTGCCATACAAGAACTTGTTTTGGATCGGCCAGTTTGTATGGCAGGTATATTCTATAATAGTCTTATATCGACGGTTCTCATGTGGAGAAAAGAATATGTGTATAATTTCAGATCGATATCTCAAAAACTGAAAGACTACTTCGCGTATATACAGATAGACAGACGGAGATGGCTAAATTGATTCAGCTCGTCACGCTTATCATTTCCCATGCACATATATATACTTTATAGGGTTTTGGCGTTTACTTCTCAGTGTTACAAACTTCGTAGCAAAATTAATATATTCAGGACATAAAAAGAACAAAAACATTTTGGATGACCATAAAATAAAGTTCATCGAGATAGGTACATTTTAAAGGCTCTTTAAGGGTATTTTTCAGCTCATAAAAATTTAAGAGTTTCCTCCTTAACGAAGTAGTATCTAGAGATACTCAGTGACTATGTGCATACGTAGTGGGCATTCAAAGTAATATAGATAGTTTTCCAGTTTTCCAGTTTTTGTAGTCCCCACAATCGCAGTAATATTACGAAATCAGATTTAGTAACTGAAACCGCGACCAAGACCAAAGATGCGCGCTCATTAATAATTAATTCAATTAACATAATTTTATACGCGCAGATGTGTATTTGTGTATGTGCACGTGTATATATGTGTGTGGGTAAGTGCAGCTTTGGTGAAAGAGGTAACCAAACGTAGGTAGCACGCTGACAGATTTAGAAAGCGCGTACGTGCAATGCCTGCAGTTTAGACTAAGCACTACCTGGTAAGTAAGACTCGTGCGCTGTGTGTTGCGCTTAGGAGCATAAGCAGCTTTTGGCCGCAGGCCAGCCTGGAATAATGAATTCAATTTGTTAACTGAAAATGTGTGCAAATTTTCGCTGCCACTGCTGCCAACAAGGTGGTAACGCGCCCAGTTGTTGTTTGTGTTTTGGCGCTCATTGTTGCAAATTCTACTGTTGCTGTTGGCTGCAACAAATGAAGCTACTGAATTTAAATGTATGCAGCGGCATTAAAATATCCGTCGAGCGATGGGTGCACGGGGCGCTAGTGGAAGACACAGCCACAGAAGTTATTTGCTGCAACATATGCGGCATGTTGCACGTTGCGCGTATGGCGCATACCATTGTATGTACTACGGCGCTAGTTATGCAGCGCAAGTCGTCGGCATTCTGCTATTAAATTTGCAGTAGCAATAGTCGTACTTAACCAACAAATACATACATATGCATTGTGGCAAACAGCTCATTTGTACGTATCTGAGATTCATCTGCAACATTGCCCTCATAGCAGTAATAGCAAAATAGCATTGCAAAAATCGCAAACAACAACAACACAATCACTATGCAAAGTGTGTTTGTTTGCTGGGTATTTATTAACAAATTGCCACGAAAGTTGTGTGAACTGTACATGCTACGTTGCCTCAAGGCGATTGGTGGGTGGTACATCGCTAGTGGCGCGGTTCGCCAAGTTGCCGGTCTTGGACCCATTTATTATAGGTATATGCATGTGCATCCTCTTATGGTTGTTTGTTTGTGTTTATGGAGATGTGCTGAAATAACTGCTGAGCGCATGATAATATGCAGATCGTTGAAAGTTTATGTTAAAGTTAGTTGTGCAAATACTTTTCACTTGAGATTATTTAAACAAACTTTGCCTGCGTTTTGGCGCTAACGATGCGGCTCGAAGTGTAATTGCTACTTATTAGCGAATGTGAGTACATACGCTTGTACTACATACATGTACATAAATACATACAAACGTCAATATATGCCATGTAGTGCAATCTACAAGTTATAAACTACTCCTCCACTAATATGAGATTCGTAGCCGACTAGTTACCTAACCATAGCTTTCTACTTGTATATAACCAATTGGTAGTTTTTGAATTTTAATATCTTACAAGATATCAAGTAATAAACCAGTTTTCATTCAATTTATATTCTTATAATCTAACATGGGCTTTTTTCCAGGTCCTCCGTGTTATTGATTCATCGATGGTATAAATCTAATAATTAGTATCTTCCTGATAAGTAGAGGTTTCAGTGTAGGGTGTCAATGTAGATATATGTATGTACCTCCACGATATTATTGGAACTCTAGAAACTCAAAAATGGCGAATAATTGGGTTAGCTTGGACATTTTTTTCTATCTATTTCCGTAATCTAATAAACTGAGTGGTAAATACTTCGTGAGACAAAATATGAAGAATTTCAAACTTTTTTTAGAAGACGTAATTTTTTAACTGATCATAACTGATATGAAAAGGCTTCTTGCAAAATCCACTTGATGAATAATAAGATCCTTTATTAATCGGGTAACCAGTTAATATAATATTTCAGTTTTATAGTTAGGAACCGCCGCATACATGTACGGTAATATATTTTTAAATATTACGTTGTTGTTGTAACGTTTATCTAGTCCCTGCTTGGATGATAAGTAATAGTTTGGTTGTCGTCAGCTCAGCTGACGGGAGACCCAAGAAACAAGCTGTTTCAATAAGTTGGGTTTGTTGGGCATGCAAAGAGGTGGTTAGTATCATGCGGAGCCTCATTGCACGCAGGACGTATGTTTGGAATGTCGGGGTGTATTCTGGATAAGTAAGAGTTTAAACTGCTACAATATCCAGAAGGAAGTTGCGCGAGGGTCACAGCTCTACGTCTGCTGATTTGACTCCTGGTACGCAATTCACTGAGAGGGAGTCGATGAAGGTGTTGATGGCTCCAATGTGAATGGCGGTCAGTGCTTGTCTATAGTTAGGTGCGTCCGAAGTTCTTTCGTCGCACTGTCTGATGTCGTCGACGTAATCAAGTAAGAACCTCTTGATGTTCCTAGGATGCGGTTCCGCTTCAAGTAGACGACACAGGGGTAATTTCTGCGAAAACATCCCAACAGAAACTGCTTGGAGAGGAGCTCGTTATGTTCCTTAACCGAAGGCATAAGGGCCTCACTGTGCAGGTGTTCTGACAAGTCTGAAGCTTCTTCGTCTGCGTTGCACTACATCCAGGCTACCATATTGGTAATGCATAGTTTATCGCGGTCGTGTGTGGAGTGAAAGAGCACAGACTGTCCAATGTTACGCCTAAAATTGTAGGGTTATTAACTGTCGGAATTTTTGTGCCATCGACTGAAATTTTCAGTTTCAGTCTGTATTCGTCCAGTTTGGGAAAATGATCGCTGTGGATTTAGTGGGGGAGAGTGTCAGACTCCGTGCAGAGGAGAAGCGAGAAAAGGTCGGAGGGGTAGCTGTTTACTTTCGAGCACATGCCATCGATTCGATTGCCCGACGTTAATATCGTGCAGTCATCTGCGTACGAGGTCACGGAAACTCCCGCTGGTGGTTGGGAAGTTTTGAGATGTAGAATTTAAACAGTAGTGGGGAGAGAACACCACCCTGCGGAACCCCCTGTTTAATTCTTCTAAGTTTCCGACCGCTCAAGTAGTTCATAGTCCACCGCTTCAGCCCTGGAGGGAGCGTTGATTGTTCTAGGTCATCAAGTAGCGTTGTGTTATTGACTGTATTAAAACCTTTTGACAAGTTCAACGCTACGAGGATCGTCCTCTCGCAGGTGGGATTCTGGTTTAGGTCTTGAACTATCTGGGCGTTTATGACGCTAAGTGCTGTGGTGGTGCTGTGCACTTTTGGGAGGCCATGCTGATGTGTCTTCATTACTGGGGAAAGGAGAGTTATCGGGCGATAAGATTCCCCTTTGTTGGCGGGTTTCCCAGGTTTCAGTAGTGGGAGCACTCTTCGGACTTTTCACACATTGGGTATTTGAAGAATGGACATCGACAAGTTGAGAACCTTCTTCCGTCAGGGCCAATGGATTTAGACGTTTTGGCCTTTTTGATGACTCTCTGAACCTCCCCATCAGTGAAAGTAAGTGGTGCGCAATTTTTTGGCATTTTGCGCAGACGTCGGGTAACACATCGTTTGGCCTTG